GAACTACGAAAAGCAATTCAAATGAAACCGAGGTATGATTAAACTCGACAAACCATTTCTCTATTCTTGAAAGTCCATCGTTTGAGATGTCGATTTTTAGTGCAAGGTCGGACCAGACTTTCTTCATCCAGGGACAAAGGAAAAGGACATGTTAAACAGTCTTGGGTTGCTGATGACAATAAGTCGCACATAGGATCATGTACAATTCTCCTTTTGAACAAATTTTCTTTGGTAGAGAGTGCATTTTGACCCGAAGCATAGTAACACTGGTTGACGATCGCAGATACATTCTAGCACTCACTAATTTTCCCATCTAATATCGAATCATCTGCAAACAATAAATGAGAGAGTGGGGGACATGAATAATTCAGCTTGACCTTTAATGCTCCCATCTTTCACAGCTTTCTTCATCAAAAAAAAAAAATAGAACATTAGATACCATGATATACAAGTAAGGGGAAAGAGAGTCACCTTGTCTTATTTCTCGCAAGGGGAGAAATGAGGGCAATGGCTCTCCATTGGATTTGACACCAAATGTGACCGTTGACACGCTGCAACACCCAATTGACCCATTTAGCATAGAAACCTGTTTTAAGCATAATAGCTTCCAAGGAATCCCACATGTTCATAGTTTTTCTTCATGTATAGCTTAAAAACGGCCTGAAATATCCTCTTCCTTTTATGAATCTTCAGTTGATGCAAGGCTTCCTGAACAATCAAGATGTTGTCTTGGATTTGCATTCCTCTACCAAATGCACCGTGCTCTACAGCAATCAATTCTCGCAATCAACAGTTTGCCAGGATTTTTTAGATAATTTTATAGGCAAAGTTGCATAGGCTGATAGAACGAAAGTATTCCACTTGTTTTAAACGTTCTCAACGCTTCTTGAAATGAGGAAATTAACAAAAAAGTCCTAAAGTTATTGCACTTCTACCAATTAAGTCATAAACATTTTGACGATTTGTCAATTGAATCGTAAACCTTTCAATTATGCCAATTTAGTCCTACACCATTTGACGATTCGTCAATTTAGTCCTTCCGATCAATTTTTACTGGAAAACGGTGACGTGGCGGTCTAATCAGTGCCGATCGTCCTATGTGGCACGGTCGGCGCTGACATGGATAACTTTTTGAATTTGTTTAATTTTTTCTTTTCCTTTTTTTTCCAACTCTTGGCCAGCGACCCTCACCTGGTTTGGGGAGGACGTCACGATCCTTGATGGCCAAAGGAAAAATTGTCAACCCTCACCCAGATCCAAGCAAGGGTCGTGACCCTCACCTATTGGCCGGTAAGGACTACGACACCCTCCCCTAATCCAAGCGAGGGCTACAATGCCCTCGCCCAGACTAGGTGAGGGTCATTGGCCCTCGCCTATGGTCGGCAACCTCTGCACCCTTGCTAGCCAAGAGTTGGAAAAAAAAAAGGGAAAGAAAAAAGAAAAGAATAAAAAAAATGCAAAAAATTGCCCATGTTAGCGCTTACCTTACCACGTAGGATGGTCGGTGCTGACTAGACCACCACGTCAACATTTTTTGGCCTAAATTGGCTAGATTGACTAAATTGGCAAATCATTAAAAGGTTGATAACTAAATTTGTACAATTAATAGGTTTAAGAATAAATTGTCAAATTGTCAAAAGGTTTACGACTAAATTGGCCAAATTGAAAAGTTGGGGACTAAATTGGCACAAGTACAATGGCTTTATGACTTTTCTGGTAACTTTCCCTATTGTGATTGACATGCAATTTCCCTTCCAACTGCTCCCACTTCCATGATTTTCTTCATTTCCATGATCCTAGTAGAAAAATTTAGGATAATTGTTGACGAACTTGACATTTAAGTTAGTAGTAATAAAAATTGTTTTTCCTCTATCATGAATCCACTCTCTTATTGACAGTATAATGTTATTTGTGCTTTTTATATGAGCTTTATGTGATTTTTTTTGGGCGTAAAACTTATTAGGGTGTGGTTCATACTCCTCATCAACAAAAAGGCACGGGGTTGCAGGAGACAATGCCCCCGAGCCACCAGAAGGCTTTTATAGTTTGGGCCCGTATTATATTGGTAGTTTGGGTTTGAGCCCATGAATAGCTAATGAGTGGCCTAAGGCTTTCTCAACCTCTAGGGTTTTCTTGTGTGGCCTATATATAAAACATTGTGTCTCGATTTCTCTTTCTCGCATTTACTTTTTTATTTCGTTGTGTTTGTGCGCCTAATCCTAATATTATTGAGTTTCACTGTTAGAGAAGTCCCTTATTGGAGAATCGATGTGGTATGAAATAATCAATATATCCAAGTTGGCCCATAACTCATCAGCTTAAGTTTTTAAGTGAAGTTGGGTCCAACTAGATATTATGGCAGACAGATCCCTCTTGGCCATCTCCCCAGGTTGAGGTATTGAACTTCTACTGCATGCCCTCAACAAAACCTAGGGAAAAGTACCAAAAAAGTCATAAACATATTGGATTGGTACCATTTCAATCCGAAACCTTTCAATTGGACCAATTTAGTCATAAACATTTTCACATTGGTACCAAATGAGTCCATTCGGCCAATTTAGGCCGAAAATTGCTAACGTGGACGTCTACTGTCCTACGATTTTTAAAAAAAATAAAATTTTCAATTTTTTTATTTCTTTTCTTCCATGGCCAGCAAGGGCTGGCCTCGCCTGAGCAAGGGTCACCCACGCCGCCACAAGCAAGGGTCAGCCTCGTATGGGCGAGGGCAAGCGCCAATAAAGCCGACCCTCTCCTGGCATTGGAGTTTGCTTGAGCGCTAGCATTTCCAAAGATGTAGCTTGCCACTATTTTCTCTCTATTAGTTCATAATCTCTCGATGGATTGTTGTTTTGGTCGATTCCTTTGGTTTAACTCTGAATCTAGGTTTTCTTTTCGAGGATTTTGTTTGTCAGTATTTTACCTAATTGCATGCTTGAAGTTGCAATCTGTTTCCCATCGATTGCAATCGCATGACACGGACCTTAAGACTGTATACGGCCCCTCGAGTTATTTTTTGCCAATTCTGTCTGAGTTCTGATCTGAGCTGAAGTGGCAACCGAGTCAAAAGCCGCGACGGAAGAGGTGAAGATGGATTTGTTCGAACACGACGATGAGTTTAAAGAGTTTGAAATCAACGAAAGTACTACTTATTTGGCGAACCTCTGCGTTGTTCAACTTAGGCAAGCCCATGGTTCAAGGGCGACCCTTGCTCAAGCAAGGCCAACCCCCGCCGGCCATGGCCTATGCCGGTGCAGGCCATGGAAGAAAAAGATAGAAAAAAAAAGGAAACTAAGAAATTAAAAAAATTGTCCACGTCAACACCAACCGTGCCACGTAAGGCGGTCGACGTCCACATCAACAATTTTCGGCCTAAATTGGCCTGATTGACTCAATTGGTACCAATGTAAAAAGGTTTAGAACTGAATTGGTCCAATTGCAAGGTTTCGGACTAAATTGATATCAATGCAATAGGTTTAGAACTTTTTTGATAACCTATTTCCAATTTCTTTATATTTAAACTCATAATTCTTCATCAAAAAACTTACTCAACCATATTGAATTATAGTTGAATCATGAACCGCATTAATAACTTTCTCCATGGTCAAACTATAAAAAAGTTTAGTCTTGATCTTTCTTTTTGCAAACCATTGGGGTTTACCCCAGTGGCCATCCTTCCTACTTGGGAAGGGGAAGGTGGGGAGTTCGATTCCCCACCTTCTCAGGGAGACTAGGGGTAGAAACATGTAGTTTTAAATGTGGATTTTGACTCCCACGCCCTGCAAGAGACAGGGCAGAACTCTGAGAGTGAGTTAAAAGTTAGAGTAGGACAGACAAAAAAAAAAATTCCTTTTGCTTTTTGCTTTTTAATCTTGTTTAGTCTTTATGATTTTAAGATTAGAAAGAAAAAAAGCGAAATAAATCCCAAGTTGAGTTTCTAAGTTAAAACACATTATGGGGTTTTTTTTTTTTTGCCTTTCCGAAGGAGAAAGTAAATTATTCTCTTCAAAAGAAAGATATTTCAAGTAAACCGAGATAAGAAAGTAGCGATTCATGGATCATAATTGCATAGAAAATGTGTCATATAGCATTACATGCTTAATCCAAGTTGAAGGTTAATTTGGTCAGTCAACTTAAATAGAGTGTGTTTTAGCCACACACACAAAAAAAGAGGTGTGGAAATAGCCTCACCCATATGCTTATTGCAAAACATGTAAGTGGCAAACAAAACCCCAAATTTAAAATCTAAAAAAAAAAAAAAGAAAGAAAGAAAGGGAAAGAAAGAGCAAAGAGAAAGAAGAAAAGGAAAGAAGTCACAAAGCTTTCGCCCAACTAACTTGGCTAGCTATAGCAGTAGCAAGGAATCTTCATAATTATGACATTAATTGGTGATGAAGAAGCGGTTGAATTAACCGGCCATTGAATTGATCTTCAACCACCTCCTCCATTTGACCTTTGTAATGTGTCCATTCCACCAGAAACTAGAAAGAAAGCAGCTGCATCTTATCCCCTTTTTTTTTAAATGCCGAATCGCATTATTGTTTGGTTTGACTTCCATCCTGATCGGCAAACTATGCCGACTCACACAGATTTGGTTCAATCTCAAACACTCATTTCTAATTCAACCACTTCCAAAACTTATTTTTCGAGGCACACACACCCATCGTTTTTTTTTCTTCAATCGGGTATTGAAATCTTCGCCGGACGTGACAATCTCCCCGTACCATCCTGCCACTAATATATGAATGCGATCTCTAACAACATCAAGATATCACAGTAATTTGACATTCTTCTATCTCGAACGAGAAAGACAAACGGGCGATCGCTTGCTTGATAATTTCCAAGATTCCGGTGGTTCGCACATAGCAATCAAAACATGGAAGTGTGCGATCGTGGACGAACCCTGAATTGTTCAATTAGGTGGGACAGTTGGGTGGGGAACGAGCGGTCCTCGTCCTATAGTTTAATGAGCCGATCGATCGTAATCTCACCACTCGCAAAGCTTCCCCTCTTCTCTCCAACCTCGCTCAGGACAAAAACCCCATAAAAAAATCCAACGTTCTTGTTCAACGTATGACACATATTAGTGCTCAGCCCAAGTCAAGTCGACGTACTCTTTTTCTGGTTTCCTCTCTCTTTCTTTGACTATTTCTCCTAAAACCCAAGTGATGTCACCCCCTGGTTCCGTCTTCCATTTGCTCTCTCAAGCGTCCCCATTCCCATTTCGTGGCGTACCACGATGTTGTCTCTCTCTTGGGCTCCTCCTCCTCCCGCGTCCTCGTCTCTTGTTCTGCACTTGCTGTTTCCACTGTTCTTGATCTTGATCAAGACTCCTCGTTCCCTGGGCGAGGACTATTACTCGAGCTGCACCGAGAAGTTCAGCTGTGGGGACGTTGTTGACGTTGGCTATCCTTTCTGGGGAGGCAGCAGAGCGAGCTTTTGTGGGTATCCCCAGCTGGAGCTCAAGTGCGAGAACGGAAGCACCGCGACCATAGTGATACAGGAAGTGAAGTACCGTGTTCTGGGGGTGTATCCTGATCCTATTCAGGTGCTGAGAATCGCGAGGGACGACTATATGCAGGGACTCTGTTCCACGAATTTCCTCAACACGACTCTCGACTCGTCGCTGTTCCAAATCGCCTACGGCTACACCAACTTCACTTTACTCTACGGCTGCCAAACGGTTGTCCCACTTTTCTCATGTCCTGTGCAAGGGGTTCCGTACACGGGGGGCTATTATGTGTTGTCAGGGTTGGTTGTTCCCATTGGATCGTGCTTCAAGAGCGTGGTAGTCCCGCTTTCTTTGGATGTTTGGAGTACCTTGGGGAATAGCTCGTCCAATTTAGTTGAGGTGCTGCAGCATGGTTTTGAGGTTCAGCTGAAGGTGGATGGTGAAGCATGTGGGGAGTGCACTCAATCGTTTGGAGTGTGTGGTTACGATCTCGCTACGAATCAGACCACTTGCTATTGTCCTGGCCAGTCCTTTGGTTCCAAAACCTGTGGTTCATCAATATCTGCTGCGCCGCCAGAGGCAACAACTGCTAAATCTACACAAGGTAGTTCATCTTAACTTTTCTTTTATCACTTATTCACTTTGCGGAGCAATTTGGGAGTGAGGAATAGGATGGAAAGAGAAGGGTAGAGGAAAATATGGTGGAAAAATGAATATGCCATTGATTGGAAGAAGAAAGGAAATGGAGAGAGAATAACGCGGAGAGAAAGTTTTCAATTGGATCCCAAAAGAAACAATCTCAAACGAAGGTCACTTGAAGTATAAAACTTATACTTTACTTGTAAATTTAGATGTTCCTGTTTACTTCCATTCCTCCAATTTCCTCTTCATCCGGACAAGGTCAAGAGCAGATATGTTTTCTCTGCTTCCAATCTCTATGTCTTCTTATTCCCCTCATCATTTTCTTTCCTTCCTTTCTCTTTTTTCCAAACAAAGGGTTAGCCTCTTAAAAATAGGAGGAAAAAAGTGACCCATTTGTACTTTTTGACTAGAGTTTGGCTGGCCCTGCTAACTGCTAAGCTTCCATAAGTTTTCTTTGGACTAAAGCAAAGTTGTTGGAAGACTCACCCACACTTGAGTAATTTTCATGAACCATCACTTTCCCAGTGACATTAGTAAGTGATATTTTATCTGCCAGCCACATCTAAAATGATGCTCTAATAGATGTCCCTTAGAGTCTGCCAATCAATGCTCAATAGAGCATTATATTTTTTTTTTTCTACACGGAGAGTTGGTGAAAGTTGATATCTCTGGACTTAGTCAAACCCATCCATCACATCCACCCTTTTAAAAACAAGAACCTTGTAGGTTATGAGTCACAATACTGAGTAGATGACATCGAGTAATTCATTGATAAAATTCGGAGAGACATTTACCATCATATGATATACTATCATGCTGAATCAAGATTTATCATGTTCGCTAAATTGTGCTTGGATTTTCTGCTAAGACTGAGCATTGCTTCAGATGAGACTGGTTCTTTCTAATGATTATCACTGTTGTTTCTCTTGAATAAACTTGAAAATCTAGGAAAAGTTGGATTTTGTGAGATATTTACCATAGAACCACTGCAATTTCTTTGACTGGAGAGCTACTTAAAGACAGATACATGACTAATTTTTTTTCCCTTGTCCCGTCTGATCGCTCTCATTTTTTTAAGTATAGTTCGAGTGTGCTTTCTTATTCTCTAGAATGATTATCAGGACAAGTTTAGGGCAACAAAGCCACTTGATTTGTCTTTAAGAACAGAAGGATTTGGCACACTCCAGTTTCAAGATAATGTTCACCAATTGATGCCATTATAACTTTTTTCTATTCTCCTTCAATGTTAAGCAATTGAAAAGTTTAGTTTGGTCAATTCAGTAAACAGTTTTTTCTCATGGGTGATTTTATCAAACATAGGTTCTTGAGATTTGGAGATAACATTATCTTTAGAACACTTCAAATTGGACTTAAAGTATTTGCCTGATTCTGAAGCTACTAATTATTACTATGGACTGTCGTTGTGGATGTGGATATGAATTTGCCTCGTAAACAAATTCCATTCTTAAATAGTTAGAGTAGGATTAAAGAACTGACATCTTACTTGTCTTTTTCTCGCTTTTTTAGCAATTATGGCTTGATTATTAATTCTCAGTCTTATCTCTGACGCAGGGAAGAAGGATTCTAAATCACTCAGTATAGGTAATATACTCTCTGACAATGAGCAAATTTATGATGTCCAATAAGTGATGGAAAAGTGAATGTTCGTTCATATTGTGCAGGCCTTGGCATTGGCGGAGCTGGTTTTGTGGGGATTCTGCTAGGTTTCTTGTTTGTCTGTTTAGTGCGGAGAAAGAAAAAGAAAGCTGCTTTCCAAATTCAAACCAAAGATCTCGGCAGTACTCCTTCAAACAAAAGCCTGCTCATATCAAGCAATTTCACTAGAAGCATACCGTCTTTTCCTTCTTTGAAGTCCGACCTTGAGAAGGGAAGCACCTATTTTGGAGTTAAAGTCTTTGAGTACGTAGAACTTGAAGAGGCTACTCAAAATTTCGATCCTTCTCGAGAACTTGGAGATGGAGGTTTTGGGACGGTTTATTACGGTAGGGGATGCACTGTTAGTCATTAATGTAATGAACCATGGGAACTACTAGCCCATTAATCAAAGTAGTAATGATTTGTTGCAGGTGAGCTTCGTGATGGGCGAGTAGTTGCAGTCAAGCGCCTTTACGAGAACAATTTGAGACGTGTTGAGCAGTTCATGAATGAAGTAGAGATCCTAACACGCCTGCACCACCAGAACCTAGTGAAGCTGTATGGATGCACCTCAAGACGGAGCCGGGAGCTGCTTCTTGTCTATGAATATATTCCTAATGGAACAGTGGCGGATCATCTCTATGGAACGCGAGCGAGTTCTAATTTGCTTCCTTGGCGTGTTAGGTTGAAAATAGCCATTGAGACTGCAGATGCACTCACTTACCTTCACGCATCCGATGTCATTCACCGTGATGTTAAGACTAATAACATTCTCCTAGAGAACAATTTCTGTGTAAAGGTGGCTGATTTTGGTCTTTCACGGTTATTCCCCACAGATGTCAGCCATATATCTACTGCTCCACAAGGAACTCCTGGTTATGTGGATCCAGAGTATTATCAGTGCTACCAACTTACAGACAAGAGTGATGTATATAGTTTCGGTGTTGTCTTATGTGAACTCTTATCATCAAAACCTGCAGTCGACACTAATAGGCATCGTCAAGACATTAATTTGGCCAACATGGCTGTCAACAGAATTCAAAATCGTACATTGCATGAACTGATTGATACTTCTTTGGGGTTTGAAACAGATTATGCAGTTAGGAGGATGATGACCTTCGTGGCAGAGTTAGCTTTTCGGTGTTTGCAGGACGAAAGAGATATGAGGCCAACTATGGAAGAAGTCTTGGACACTCTGAAAAGAATTGGGACTGCGCAGATAGAAGAGCAGAAAGCCGAGGTTATGGACGAAGTTCTAGACACCTTGAGAGGATTCCAGTATGAGAATGCAAGAGTGAAGAAAGCTGAGGTGATTGACATCAGGTCAGATGAAGTTGGGCTTCTAAAGAATATGCCTCCCTTGCTTTCCCCCGACTCGGTGGTCTCACCTAATTGGGGAAGCAACCCTACCACACCTAATTCCATTTAGCAATTGAGATTTCCTGTTCTGTTTATTTCATAAATCTTGAAGCAGGGAAAGTGATTTCATGTATGATGACCATAAGCTCTGTGGCCTTCTAGTCTGATGTTGTTTAAGCAGGTGGACAGGAGTTACTGAGAGCAATGTACATAGTAAAAGCGATCTGCAGTATTTATCTGTTTCTATGATATTTTGTGATGAATATACTTGCTGGCTGTTCTCTCTTGGAAATGTTAAGGAAACCAGCGCATGCAGTGCACTTATCATAAGTGGTAATCATCTGGTGTCACAGGAGCAATTCATTGCGAGATTGTCCAAAATGATGTCATTTTACAAGTTAATACTAGTGTTGGTGGATCTACCATGCAAGTATTTGGTGTTGCTGATGTATTAGGAAAAGTGTGATGGCGCAGTCTACACATGCGGAAGCCAAAACATCCTCCTTTGTTCAGTTTTCCGGTTGTTGTCGTTGTGTATGCATTTTAGACTGAAAAAGCAGAAGTAGCAGGAGAAAAAACTTCGTGGTTTCGTTCTGTATATCAACTTCAGTTGATATTCATTGGCAGGGCACATCTCTGGTCCCTCCCTCGTGGTATGGTAGCCGGGATTATAATTCGTCGTAAGCACGGATATTTTTCCAATTTAGTTGCAGCAAAGCCAGTAAAGTCTACTGTACACTAGCTGCTCGAACTTGGTTATATTCTGCTAATCCTATCAATCTGGAAAAATAGGATTGCCCAAGCAACATATGTTTGCCTCCCAAATTGTGACTTGGTCGCCGGAAGTGACTCAACTAAATTGGAATGTGGCTGCGGCAGAACATGATTCATAGGCTTCTTGTTTAGCTATACTTAGAGATGTATCGATTATTCGGTGATCGGTATTTTGTCCTCCGGAATCTCATCTAGGAATGTAACTACATCGGAAAACTTGCATTATCTTGCTAGGGAAACGATGTCGGTGTTCCTAGAACGAGTTTTCGTTTGATTCCCAGATGTTTATCAATAGGATGGATAATTTTGGTAAAACAACATTCATAACTTCTGATGTATGCTCTAAACTGTTATTAACCATACATTATATTTTTTGAATTCCACGTTTGCCTTTCTTGCTTTAGGGCCAATGAATGTGAAAGATGAACTGACCACCCTTTATATTTTGCTAAGAATTTAAGAGTTTAATATAAGGTATCATATCATCCACGAATTATAACAACCCCATTTATGAATAATAGTAAGTCTATTATCATATAAAATTTGTGGTTTGTTACATGACCAGTCTAAACTTATAAAATTTAATATTGATGACTTTTCTGGCAAACTTAGATATATATTTCAACACTCCCAGAATTATGCATATCAAACTTTTGAACCACATATATAGGGAAAAAACCACCAGAAACCCCAAACTTTGCCATCTGTGACACATTTACCCCGAACTTTTTTTTGTGACACCAAAAACCCCGAACTTTGCTTTTTGTGACACATTTACCCCAATATATTTAGTCCATGGGCATTTTCGTCTTTTTTGCTTTTTCTTTTTTTTTTTTCTTTTTTTTTCCTTTCCGGCGAGGGGGGCCCTCGCCGGCGTCGAGCGAGGGCGGCCCTCGCCGGCGTCGGCGAGGGTCGACCTCACCTGAGCCGGGCGAGGGCCGCCCTCGCCGCCTGTGCGAGGGTCGCCCTCGCCACGGGCGAGCGAGGGCGGCCTCGCCCGATCCGGCGAGGTCGACCTCGCGGCCGAGCGAGGGCGGCCCTCGCGATCCGGCGAGGGCGGCCCTCGCCGACGCCGGCGAGGGCGGCCCTCGCAGATCGGGCGAGGGCGACCTCGCTCGACGCCGGCGAGGGTCGCCTCGCCCGATCCGGGCGAGGGCCGCCGACGCCGGCGAGGGTCGACCTCGCCGGATCGGGCGAGGGCCGCCTCGCTCGCCCGAGCGAGGGCGGACCTCGCCGACGCCGGCGAGGGTCGCCTCGCTCGGGCGAGCGAGGGCGGCCTCGCCGGCTCAGCGAGGTCGACCTCGCCCGACGCCGGCGAGGGTCGACCTCGCCGAGCCGGGCGAGGGCCGCCCTCGCTCGCCCAGCGAGGGCGAACCTCGCCGACGCCGGCGAGGGCCGCCCTCGCCGGATCGGCGAGGGCCGCCCTCGCTCGGCGCCGGCGAGGGCCCCCTCGCCGGATCCAGCGATGGGCAGCCCTCGCCGGAAAGGAAAAAAAAAGAAAAAGCAAAAAAGACGAAAATGCCCATGGACTAAATACATTGGGGTAAATGTGTCACAAAAAGCAAAGTTCGGGATTTTTGGTGTCACAAAAAAAAGTTCGGGGTAAATGTGTCACAGATGGCAAAGTTTGGGGTTTTTGGTGGTTTTTTCCCATATTATAATTAAACAAATCTAACGGCCACTTCAACCTCAAGTTTCTCCAAAACAAAATTCAATGAAAAACATGGACAAATTTTAAACAATCTTATGACTACACATAATAATAAATGGACCACTGATCCAAAAAAAAAAAAGAATTATAGAAGGATGAAAGATAATCAAGCTAATTGGCCAGTAATCAATAAATTTCATATTGTTTAAAGGGCAAAAGCCACACAAAAAAAACCTTAAATTATGTTCACCGTGACACATTTACCATATAATTTTTTTTTACATGACACCAAAAATCTCAAACTTGTACATATGTGACACATTTACCCTCCTTCAAATTTCTATTAATGATAATTGTTAAAAATCTGCCTACGTAGACGCTAAAAAGCATTTGACAAAATCTTGACGAAGGGTAAATGTATCGCATAGGTACAAGTTTTAGGTTTTTTATCTCACAAGAAAAAATTTAGGGTAAATATGTGGGAATGGTCTAGGGTTTTTTATATCACAAAAAAAAATTCAAGGTAAATATGTCACAATGGACATAATTTGAGGTTTTTTGTGGCTTTTTCCCCTGTTTAAATTTACATTCACAAAAATTGCTAAGTACTCTACAAATCTCTCCTCTTTCGTTTTATAGACAATGAAAATCATATTTGAAAAATTGATCAAAAATCTATAAATACCATTTATGATTTATTAAATTCGTTTTTGTTTAACTATTTCCCTTCAATGCAATAAATTCCATGTAAATGACTTCTTGTCATTTGCTTTCATGCAAAATTATCTGACAACCACATAGTATTTTTTTTTTTTATGTCCTATCTTTAATTCTCCTCACTCTTTGACTTTTATTCTGCCTCTTGCAAGTCCGGGAGTGAACTCCGCATCTCTGATACTAGCGTCCCAACCCCTCCAATCCATTTACTAGCAGGACCGCATGCCTATTGACAACAACATAGTATTGACTAAACATTGATTAACGGGCGATTAGACCGTGGGCCGTCCACCTGCTTCCCCGGTCCAGCGTCCAGTCTTGAATGGAATTGTCTAAATACTTGCATTTCGGACCCACGGTAGCTTCTAACCTTTGGTGCTTCATTCCGGACATTTGCCAAATGATTTAGGATGTTTGAAATCTCTCTTCGTACATTCTAGACCAATTTCACTCGCTTCAGATATTTAAGGATCCAATTCATGTGGGAAAATTGTCCAACAAGTTTTAAATGTATTATACGGCGGCTAATTCAATCCTAAACTTTTTTCAATTTTGCTAATTTAGTCCTTATCTTTTGGACGATTTTACAATGTTATCCCTTCGACCAATTTTGACCAAAAATTGCTAACTGGCGATCCAGTCAACACCAACTTTTCAATATGGCACAATTGGCACTAACATTGTCAATTTTTTGCAATTTTTTTTCTTTTCCTTTTCTTTCTTTCTTTTTTCTTTCCATTTCTTTTCCTTTTCGCCTATGGCCAGTCTCAGCATAACCAGCAACCGACCATAGGCGAGGGCCGGGCTCGCCAATTTTGGGCAAAGGTGACCCTCCCCAGATCAGCCGAGTTCAATGCCGTTCTTTCACCGCAAGAACGCCTCCAATTTGGCAACGGCTCGCACACCAAGTGAGGACGACGGGGGTGGCGATAAGAAGGAGAGAGAAGCGAATTCGAAGAGGAAGCAAGGTCAAAGAGGGAGTGAGAGGCCGAGGAAGTGGACGAGTGTCGATAGATGCTGTTGGTTCGTGGGGTGCATATGCTCGATGTGGCGGTTCATGCTAATCCTATTTAACACGATGCTTGCTTCGTTCCCTCAATACATGACAACGGCAATCATCGGTGTATTGCCGGACCGGCCCCGAGGTCAAGGAAGGAGGGCTTGACGGCGAGGCATCCTGCGGTTTTGGTCACCCTCACCCAAATCTAGGCGAGCGTGGCCCTCACTAGTGGCCGATCATCAATCATCGTCAAAACCTGCCACTGGCAAAAGGAAAAGAAAAAGAAATGAAGGAAAAAAAAAGAAAATATTTAATATTTGCAAAAATCATCTGCGTCAGTGCGAGCCATCACCGACCATGCAACACAGAAGGCTAGCGCTGACTAGACTACCACATTAGCAATTTCCAGCCTAAATTTACCGGAATGACTCAATTAGAAAATCATCAAAAGGTTTAGAATTAAAAAGTTCAAGATAAAATTACCGTTGTATGAAAGGTTTAAGACTTTTTGGACTATTATCCCCGATTCAAGTCACTTTCAAAGCAACAGACGAAAACCTTAATCTCTCTATCGGCAACCCTCTCTCTCCCAAAAAACCCCCCCTTAATCTCTCTAGGCTTTGATTTCCCTTTTTTCCCTCTCACGATCTAATCTGGTAGTCTTTTTTTCATCTTGTTTGGTGTCTTTTTTTCGGTCGTTGTTGTTGCTTTTCTTCGCTCATCATAGTGAATAAATCAGCTTGCAGCTGAAGACTTCGTGAGAGCGTCGTCACCAGTCCAACCAATTGAGACATCCGAAAATTCCTACATTAATTAATAGTATGTATGAAATGTATGCAATAAATGTCACATGTGAAAATTCAAGTCAGATTCTAACGTGGTAATAGCATAAGGCTCGAATTATATTTTCTGCGTCCGTAGTTTTCCGAAAGTGATTCCATTAAGGTTAAATTAATGAATTTTTTTTTTGGATTTATTATCTAGAGTGGCGATGAAGCATGTAACGCCACGTTGGTTGTTAACAGAGACTGATACTCTTTGAGTTTACGTATCAGATGAGTGGTAGGTTGGAAATTTATTGAGTTGAGTCTATCCTAGCGTCCCATAATTTTTGTTGAACATTTTAATGGGTTCAAAATGTTTTTCTGTCTTATCAATGTTTAAATCGAATATTGATTTTCTTGTTTACATACTGATTTACTAGATATCTTAGCAAATTATCAAAATATCTACTTTGAAGGCGTAGAGCTAAGCCAAATGTCACCCTTTAATTTGTACCCCTCTATCTCATCCACCACCAAGTATTTTTAACCCAACTCATCATTACTTTCAACCCATGCTTATTTGATATTATCCTTTTGTAACTCATAAAATTCTTCCTAATATGTCCCTCTCTTGATAGTAAGAAGCCATTTCAAGTATCCAAGTTCTAAATACAAAGCTTCAACTCATTGTTGGAGAGAGAGAGAGAGAGAGTTTTTCATGTCACTTTCCCTTCTCTTTCAGTTTCCACTCCTTTGAAGCAAAGACCAACGTTCCACATTTGTGTATCACAAGCTTCTAAATCAATATTTCAAGTATTTACAAGGTGAATTTTTGGGCCTCCTCTTCATCTTATGAAATTGGTTTTGTTGTTTAACAAGTTGGGAGTTATTGATTTATGCTTTCGATTATCTTGCTATGAAATGCAGGACTTCATTGCCTTATTTTTTTTCAAATGTACAAGATTCGGATGAGCAAATTAAAAATATTAAGAACTCAATCAATCAAAGTTAAACGCTAATGACTCAATTGGCCAATGATTAAAATGCTTAATTTGACCAAGCTAAAATATTAAATACTCAATTGACAAACAGCCAAAATGGATAAAGAATGATTCTTCTCTTGTCCCCTGAATATACTATTATGACTTCTATTCTTTTTTTCCCCTTTTGCTTCATGTAAGCGACATGTTAGACTCCAGTTTGGCAATTACAAGGCCATTTTCTTGCAAATTCTTACTTTTATTTTCGATATTCGCCCCGTTATTTTTTAGGGGGGAAAAAATCTCTTGAAACTATGAAAAACCTCATACATAATTTTACATATAAATAATCATGTACTTTGGTATAAGTAACAAATACATACCTTTCAAGTGATTCGTGTTAAATAACGGTGAAATTGTGAAAGTCTCGAAATTATAAAAAGATAGAGATAAATAAAGATACAAAGGAACTGGATTTCACTCAAAATAAATCCATGCCGGCGTGTTTTTTCAAGTAGATTGATTGGGATATAATTGTAAGGCGATCATGGGGAAACATGATTCTAAGCGAATCGAAAATAGAACGGACGCATCACATCGAACGAAAACGTGGTATCAAGAGATTCGAACCATCTGCATGGACAGACCGAGTTAGATGCATTACGAGAAATTGATGAATTTCTCGTTGGGCAATAATCATCTTTTTTCTGGGACAGCATGATGCCATATTTCTGGACCAATTCCGCAAGTTTCTGCACGTTTTTCTTCTTGCTACAGTGCTGCTACAGCTACAGTGCCGAACAGTACATGAACAGCAATTTCCCGAAAAACTGAGCTAAATGTTTAGCGCCGAATTGACCGGACAGAAGAAGTTCATGACTGGATCGGCACGATTGCAATAAACTTTTTCCCGTGGCTTTCCCCGTCTGCGCAGGGCGAGCTCGATCGGTCAGAACCATCAGCATCGAACCGACCCAAAACCGGGCGATTCCCTGCAGAAACCAATGGAATCGCCCCCCCACAACCGAAAGCATTCAAGACGAGTGAGGAGGAAGCTAAACACAAGAGTTTCGACTTGGGGCATCTTCCTCTTGCATGTTAGCCAGGGAAGGCATCAAAAGGAATCGTTCCGGATCCAAAACGCACCGCTCTGGGCAATCGCCATCGGCGCAAGCATCTTCCTCGCGCGCGGGCCCCCAAGAGAAAAGGAGGAAAAAGAAAAAAGAAAAAAGGTATGGACATAAATTCCCGAAAATTCCCACGCCCCGCCACGTGTCACCGGAAAAAGCATGTGGAGAAACTCGCTAAAGGCTCCGCCCGTCCATTCCATTATCGCTTCGCTTTCTTCCCCTCCTCCTTCGTCGGAGCAAAACGCCGATCAGCTTCTGTACTGCGACGGCGGAGCATCTCCGAAGTGCCCATCGGAACGGCGCAGCTCGCTCTCTTGCAATTCGGGATCTCGCCCATCTCAGCCGGAGCGTCGATTCGGGTCGGGTTCGGATCTTTTTGGGCTTTCCGGAGCGAGGGGGCGGAGGGAGAGGGGGAAGGGGAGATGACGACGCTGCAGAAGTTCAAGCTGCTGGCGACGCAGTGCGCCGTCGTCGGGAGCCCGTCGCGCAGCCCCACCACGAGCCCGGTCGTCCACCTCCGCCGCCGCAGGACCCTCCGCATGCTCCTCAACCGGGCGGATCGCCGCCGGTTCCCCCGCCGCGAGGGCTCCCCGGAGCAGGACCCCGGTCGCCAGAGCCCCCCGGAGAACCCCGCCAGGTTCAGGGCCCGGCACAAGCTGCGGGACCTCTTCGTGTCGTCGTCCCCGCCGCCGCCGCCGCTCCCGCCGCTCGACGGCGCGGCGAGGCCGGAGAGGAGGCTCGAAGCGCGCGAGCGGTTGCTAGCCGAAGCGGGGACCGGGACCGGGACGGGCGGCGGCGGCGGGGGATTCGCGGCTCGGCGCGGCGGCGCGGGCGGCTCAATCAGGCCGTTGTCGGCGGCTTTCAGGTACAGATTGCTCAGGAGACCTTGGCGACCGGTGCTGGTAGCGATTCCCGAGTAGCAGCAATGTGATGTCAAAATTCAAAATTTTTCTCTCGATAAATAATATTAAAATTTAATTTTTCGAAGTATATTTTTGCTCCATTGTTTTTTCCTCGGCTCTTTCTTCATACATCTATGGTTATGGGCACTGGGCACCGTGTGTAAGCTTAGAAGAAAAGCTAGGGGCGCAGCTCCGGCGGCGCAACCGGTCGGAAACCGCCGAAGAGACGTCGGAGGGGAGCGTGACGTTCGCGAGCGCAGATCGCGCGCGGCGGCGCCAACGGAACGGGGAAAAAACCGCAATCGGCGCATTGAATTTGCTAACGGAAAGCAAAGTTAGGGACAGCTTTTAGTCAACTCCGACACTGTTCTTGCGTGTTGTTGTTGTTCTTGAGTGGGGTGGGGACAGGGGAAGAAGGGGGGGTGGGGGGGTCCCTCTTTGAAGGCGCCCATGGATCGTGCAAGACAGAAAGTCCAAGACAGGGACGGGGTTCGGATGATGATGGCTCCTTCATAAACAAATGTCTTGACGACGAAGATGACTACTGTCGCCCCGCCCTCATCTTGCAGCCCCTCCCATGCGCGACTGGGTTTCGATTAATTGGAGACTGCTTGGCTACTTTCACGTCTCCTCCACTGGATGCGCGGAATGATGTGGGTTTTGCTTAGCACTTAGGAGGGGACGACCCAGTTGCGAAATTGGGGGAGGCGAAGTCGTTTGCTTCAATGGGGGTTGTGCTGCGAAATTGTCTTTCTGGTTTGCAACTTAGTCTGAGAAGCTTCAATGCCGGTGGTCGAGCTCTGTGAATTATGGTCGAATGTACTCGAATGGGTCGGTCGAGTCAATGGAGGGACCAGCCGGGTTTTTTGACGGGGTCGAATTGACTCGAGAGGAGGGAGCGAAATCTCGCGACGAATGGGTGAACTTAGCTTGTGCATTTTGAATCGGTGCAGAGGGACGAGATGCAGGGGTCACATGAGAAAGATCTGTTGTGTAATGTGCTCTGCGGTTTGGTCCAGTCGTTCCAGGCATGATTAGTCATGAAGCAAAGTGGGCATCATGGCCCTGGATGTGCGGCGATTTAGGCAATGATTCTTGATCAAGGCATGGGACTGCGGTTGGTGATCACGCTTTCTTGAGACTTTGGAGTTGGGGGGTTAGTGTTCCTCGGAATGATTATCGCATGAGTGGTGCAAATTTCAGTGTTTTCGAGCATGCTTCTTCTTGTGCCAACAACATGTGAGAGAGGCTCTCTTGGCTGATTCATGACTGAGAAGAGTGGATAAGATGGGAGGACGACTGGTGAGAAAGCCCATTCGAGTTGTGTTGGGTCGAGGATTGAGCACTAGGCCGTCTGCAGATGTGGTTTTCCGGTTTCCTCAGTCCGCTTTCTTTGCCGGTTCCGAGGTTGAGAGTTGACACAGGCCGACTGTTGGTGCACTCGAAGGGTCGTTCGCAAGGACGCTTCTCCGTTTCTCCTCGCTCCATTGGGGTGTTTCCGAGATCCTAGATTACTGATCCAGTTGCACAAGGGTCAAGGGGTGTGTTTGTTTGAGTAAAAGAATTTTTCGCGAATTAGTTTTTCGAGACTTTCTCGCATTTGGTTCGTTGAAAATGATCGATTAACGGAAAATCATTTACTGCTAAAGAAAATATGAATGCTTCACTGTTAGAAGAATGAATTGCCTAATTTGAAAATGGGAAAAAAATTCTTGAAAAGTGATTTTCCATTTTCCTTTGTCATGGAGTTATCCTCGAAACAAACACACCCTTGGATACAGAAAAATATTCCAATTCAGCCTAGTCCAATTCGGTCCAGCTCTCGTTGGTTTACTAGGGTCTAGGTCCGGGATAATGACTACAAAATAAGCCTATGTTTAGAGGTGTCGAATGTCTGGGTAGAGTCGGGTTTGGATGGATTGGAAATGGGTTTAACACAAATTGACCCGTTTCACCCATGTTGACCCATTTTCATAGTCTATAAGTATAATAATTCATGTCCGACCCAATTTATATATTTCATTCGACTCAATAATCCATGTTTTAAAGGCATTAATTAAACCTACTTTTTTTCCTTTTTATAATTTTGCCATTTTGAGGAACACTAGCCATACTCTTTTCCACTTGCTCTCGGACTCTCACTATTTTATTGGGCCACGTGGTCACACATTGCAAGGAAAGTAGCCGTTTCTTTTGCGTGTGGTGGGGGGAACACATATCTTTTGTATTATCAGTTTCTTTTGCTCTTCCACTACCAAAATTAGAAATTTAAAAAAAGAAGAAGAGAAAATCAATCAATCAGTTGTAAACTTATTGTACAAATATTAATATAATCCTGAACTTTACAATTTGACAATTTAATTGTAAATCTTTGTGCGAAATTCCGATGTGGACTGGATCACCACATCAGCAATTTCCAACAAAAATGATCGAAAGGATTACATTTGAATTTCGCATGAAATTTTAGGACTGAATTGGTAAAATTGAAAAATTTATGACTGAAAAAGCTCTAGAAGTGGTATTATACTGACCACAGCCATTCGCACGTGGCCTTTTGAGGAAAAAGTGTCCAAAAAATCTTAAGTTTATTACACTTTTGTTAATTCAATCTTAAAATTTTCAATTTTGTCAATTGAGTCCTAAACATTTTCACATTTTATCAATTGAGTCCATCTGATCAATTTTAATAGGAAATCGTTAACATGGATGCCGGTAGGGCCACGTAGAATGACTAGCGCTAATGTGGATAAAAAAATTAAATTTTTTATTTTCTTTTTTCTATTTCTTTCTTTCTTTTCCTTTTTTTTTTTTCTATCAATCCGGTGAGGATCGCTAGCCGACCCTCATCGACCACAGGCGAGAGCCAGCAAGAATCGCCAACCCCTGGGCGAAGGCTACGACCGGCGAGGGCCTTACGGCCCTCACTCAGTGGCCGGCAAGGGTCAGCCGGCCCTCGTCGGGCTTGGAAGAAGAAAAAGAAAAAGAAAGAAAAACTAATTTAAAAAAATTGAAAAATATTAAAATATTATTAAAATTGTCCACATCACCGTCAGCTGTATCACGTAGGACGTCCGGCATCCACTTCAGCGATTTTTCACTATATTGACCGAATTGACTCAATTAGCAAAATGTGAAAAAGTTTAAGATTCAATTGATATAATTGAAAGATTTAAAACTGAATTGATAAAAACTAATATATTTAGGACTTTTTGAACAATTTTCCCGGCCTTTTGAAGTGGAGAGTGTCCATCAGGGAGCATGAGAGTAAAGTTCCCTTAGCGTTGCTTTTTTATTAACTGAGTTGAAAGTGGGTTCTTTCTAGACCCATTAAACCCCATCATTAATTGTACTTTTTCTTTATTAGACCCATTTCAACCTATATTTTAAATTTTAATTAATTTATATATAACTCAACTCATTAAATATGAGTTAATATATAAATTTGTAATTTATTTTGCCCATGTCTACCTATATTATAGGCCCATTTGGGTGAATGGGCTTATGCTAGGAAAGTCAAGTTCTAACCGGTTTGCTTTTTCCCTGCCCTCTCTTTAGGGTTCTCTCCTCTCCCTCATATCTTCACACAACCTTCTTCTTCAATCTCCATGGAGGGGTCCCCATCCCTTCTCCTTTTTCTTTGACTGATTTGGTTCTTTATTATCTTGTTCTTGTTTTCCTCCCATTTTGAGGAGTTTTTATATTTTAATATAGTCTAAATCTAGAAGTTTCTCTCTCCCTGATCTAGTCTAGATTTGGGGTTTTTTTTTTTTCATATATGATTTTGAGGTTTCGTTTTCCTCGAGTTTCGTTGGTTTATAGGTCCAGTTTTGAAGAAGATCACAGAAGTTACGTAAAGGTTTCGCTCTCACAAGTGTTAGATCTGTGCGTATTTAACCTTGTTACTTTACACGGCGATGGTGTCAGGACACTGAAGCTAGGCACACACCACTGAAAGGCAAAACAATAGCAACAGATGAAGATCTCGATTTGTGCTTATTACTGAAGATGAATTTGGTGATCGACCACCGACTTTGGCTTGAAAAAGTTTCAGATCTACTACTTTTGAGGATGTGACTCATAACCTTATTTTGATGATTCATCTTCTTATCTAAAACTTGTTTTGTTGTCTTGGTTTGTAGTTGAATTGCGTATCTCTATTGTACATCCATGGAAATGAATAAAATATTTCTTTAACTAAAAAAAGTTCTCCTTAATTTCTCTTGAAGTAAGGGTAGTCGTAGCATATTATGGCCGAGTGAAAAGAATTTATGCGAGCGGCTTTATGCATCATATATCTCAAAAAGTTGGTAGTTATAATCCTCATATAAAAAGTAAAAGAAGTTGCTCATGTAAAATATGCTTCATTGGTATACACTATTTTTGAAAAAATGATACTACAAGTGTCATAACTTTTATACGACACTTACTTTAGTGCTAAAACTTTTTAAACGATCACTTGAGTGTCATTCTGGCGATTCCTCCTACGTGACTTTTTAAATTAATTTTTTACTTCGACATGGCTTTTTAAAATGAAATTGAAGTCTAGCGTGGAAAATTCTTCATCCGATGTGACATAAGTAACCAAAACGATGATATTTAATCTAAAGCCGGGGGGGAAAACTCTCTCTCTCTCACTCATCATATATTCATCATCTACACTCATTTCATCAATCTTTGACCATGGCAATGTGTTCGCATCAATTGTTGCACTTCCCACGGTTGTTACTAAAGCCCTAATTTTATTCATATTATATTTTGATATATTTTCAATTTCTTATTTATTAAATTTTTATTGGGTTAATATCACAAAAAATCTCAAACTAGTACACTTATGACAAATTTACTCCGAACTACTCTAAACTAGTACAATTGTGATAAATTTACCTCAAATTAATTTTTTAATCACCAAAAACTCCAAATCAGTATATTTTTGATAAATTTGCCGCTAAAATGGCAAGCCTTAAGAGAGAAGAAGGTGGTGATGCGGGTCGGTTGTGTGGGTACCACTTACAGAGGTAAGCTTGAAGTGCTGAAGCAAATGCCAATGATGCCATTTGTTAATAATGGTTCCTTTGCCACGAATCTAGGGGCCAGGCCTGCAATCATGTTATATTGACCTTCCTCTTAGGCTTTGTCGACACAATCGTGAACCGCTTCTCCTGTTTCTTCTGCTCTCCACTGCAAATTTGATAAGAGTGATTTTGTCTCGATTTGAGAATTGGGGTTAGGGTTCCTTGAGAATGTACTGAATTTTGCCCCCTTCTCATTAATTTGGGGCGAACCGATTTCTAAATGACGTCTGTGCAGAGGCTCACTTGCTCACTTCATCTCGCCGAGCAGCCTCGTTGGGCTTTATACAATAAATTAATAGCACATCGGATCTTTCGGCCATTCAGATCACCGATGACAGTAGAGTGATTCGATTTTATTTTTACTCAACCGGCATTGAAGTAAGCGACTGTACGAAAATTACGGCACTTACGATATCTTTTTTTTTTTTCCCGGTTTTTCCATTATAGATAAACCCTAATCACTCGCCCTTGTGTTGATCATCCCAGCCATTTCCCAATTTATAGATGCAAACGAAGTGGGACCAAATTCCACTAAACACCAATTTGACCCAAGTGGTGAGGCTCTGGCCCTCTTTCTTGATGGGGTTGGGGGGGATGTTCGTCCTTTCCTTTTTATGTGTACCCTTTTTGCTCTTCAAGATAAGAGGCTTTTGATTTAATTTTTTTTTCCATTTCGGCTTTTCGTAAAAGGAGAAGATACTTCTCAATTATGGAGGAGTTAGTGTGCTTCTCTTTCTTTCTTTCTCTCTTTTGTTTTTTTCTCTCCGTGCCCGTGGCCCTTCCGGGGCTCCACTCCCAATTTCTCATGTATCTTTATCTTCTGCTCTCTGGAAGTTCTTTATCTCGGTAATTCGAAATTCGGATAATGATCGAGACAAAGCCTTTTTAAGGACTTACTTGGATGCGACGAAAGGAGTTAGTGCGCTTCTCTTTCTTTCTCTCTTTTGTGTGTGCTTTTTTATCTCATGGGACGGACTCCCTGGTTCTGGACTCACAATGATTCTTTACTCCCCATGTGGACTGCACTTTGGCCATGACACCTGCAAATGTCGTGCTCTTGCCAGTGTCGCCGCCCCCTGCATTACGCCTATCTTTCGAAGGATGCATCCATCGATGGATGATATCAAAACCCTTTCAAGTATTTTTTTCTTGACTATGATTGTTGTGAACATATAATATATATATTTGTATATGTATGTATGTATGTATGAATATCAATTTATTCATTTCGATCCGTTTTCTCTGATTATGAATGGTATGAATCTCGTGATCAAACCTTATCACAAGGCGTTAGCTTAGAGGATAAGAGGAATATTTGCTCCTATCCACGGTCTTAGATTCACATCTTGTTGCCATGTTGGTAGAACTTCGGATGTAAAATCTTAAGTACTCTAGGCCGATGAAGGAAAGTGCATCCTTAAAGTCGCATAGGGAGATAGGCTAATTAAGGTGTACGAAAACTGATCGAGATACCACTTGACCGCTATACGATGAAAAAATAAGTAGTGTAAACTTTTAATAACTCTAAAAAATGACTAAACGATAGACGGTTCAGTAGGAGAAATATGAATTCGTCACCACCGTAGTAGTACAATTAACGAAAAAGTTGAAAATTTCTAAAATTCTTTCCAACCAGTGTTTTGGTTTTTTACTTAATCTAGTGGTACTTATTAGAGCTTAAGTCATGTTATAAATGCAACATATTGAGAATCATCATTTATATAAAACTCAATGACATGATATATGAATGGCCATAATATATTCTTCTATCCTTTTTCAATAAGTCATATGAGAGTTTATCGGAATATATACCAACCGAAGATTCAAGAGTTGTCAAAGCTAGACACGGAGGTCTCCAAGACACGGCGAACCAAAAGGGGATCCCGATCCATCGGACCGCGGAACCAGACCTACATTTCACCCGGCCGCCTCGCTTCCCTTCGATCCGAGATCTCGTTCCCCAGCTCAGGCATCAAAACCGTGAGCGCGATCGCGGGCGAATTCGCTCGCACCCGCCCGCTCTCGCGCGAGCGCTACTGTCTTTCGCCTCGATTCGAAACCCCGGAAATTGCATTAAACAAAGCCAATTGCACCACCTTCCCCCCCGCAAAGTCCAAATCTTTCCGTGGGAAGCTCTCTCTTTTTCCAAAGCTACTCCCCCCCACCAGCATTTAGCCGTGACGTGTTTTGGCATGTCGAGACAAAGAGAAAGCGAATATGCAACACATCTTTTCTTTTACATAAAGCGGGACGTTTAACTACCAAAAAGCACCTTTTTGACAATCGCGTCCCCCTTTCCAATCCCCTTCGTTTCGTTTGTTTGTCTCCCAAGAACGATGAATGATCACACGTCCTCCGCTGTTGAAAACGGAGGGGAGAGGGATCACGCGCGCGCGGGGGCCGGCCAACAAGTGCTCTCTTCGTTTCTTTCTTCCTTTCGAACACCTACTTGCGTAGGAGACGCTAAGTAGGGATGTCAGAACCGAACTGAAAAATCGAATCGAGAACCGAATCAAATCGAAAATTTAGTGCATTTCGGTTCGATTTCGATTCGGATCATCAAAATAAATCAATTTTTCTTTTCGGTTCGGTTCGGATCGGTTTGGATCGAACCGAACTAAAATAAACACTTCGGTTTATGGCTATTTTGCCCCCTCTCTCCCCTTCTCTCTCCTCTCTCCTCTCTCTCTCTCTGCTTAATGAACTTGAAACCGAAAACTGATCCGAACCAAACCGAACCAAATCGATTTTTCGGTTCGGTTCCAATTCGGTTCGGTTCAAATTCGGTTCGGTTCAAGGGGGCACCCTTAATGGTTCGGTTCGGTTTGGTTTTCTTGAAAAACCGAATCGAACCGAACCATTTACACCCCTAACGCTAAGATCCATCCATAAAATTGATATACCACGGATCCTGAATTTGTTCGACCGGAAAATTTCTGTTTTTACTTTCAATGTAACCGAACGTAACCGAAACAAAATTCCCTTTTTTTTTTTTTTTTTTCGGTTAATGCGCATTGATCGGAATTCGTGGTGATGAGGAGGATACAGACGGTGGAGTGGTGTCGATATAACCGGTAATGTATTCGGGTTTTACTTAGAAATTGGTTGATTGCATAATAATAATAATAATAAATTTAAGGAACAAAAGGTTAAATGCATGGCAATTGACATCATAAATCGATGTGTAACCGGCAAATCTACCGAAAAGTGTGAGATATAGTTAATTAAACTTAAGTAAAAGTTAAATATATAGTCCCCTGGATATCTTGTTCCCATGCCAAATCCCTTTGGTTTGTTTCATGAAAACTAAATAACTAAAAAATATATATTTTATAAATATGCTCGCTAGTATCGCTTGAAATAATTAGTTAATAAAAGATATTTTCGCTATCGATAACATTTTATGTGTGGACATTTTTGTGGGCGTCGAAAATAAATAGTTATTTTAAAGACACGATACGTTTTTTCGCGAAATAAATAAATATGTCAATTTATCGGTATGCCTAGTCTTTTTTTTTTTTTGGGAGGCATATGTTAAATTGGAATATACTAGAACCTGAAATCCGCCGTCACGCGACCACTCCAAAACACCCCTCTCTCTCTCCTTCTCTTTTAACGTTCGACCAAACCTTCGCACCTCCTCGGCCCGCCGTACTTGACCTCACGCGCCGCCCTCTCCTCCGCCGCCGCCGCCCTCCCCGGAGAAACGGGAAAGCTCATCCGACAGGTTTCGACCCCGACGCGCCGGCCCCCCTCCCCCGCCCCCCGACGCGCCGCCGACGTCGTGTCCACGCGCCGCCCCTCGCGCTCTCCGCCGATCTGCCTGAGAGATTCTCCTCTCGAGATCTGCTGCAGAGGGCGTCTCCTTGGGGTTGCATGAATCGGTCGCCTTGTCTGATGAGAAGGAGATGGGCGGGGTCACGTCGTCCATTGCAGCCAAGTTCGCCTTCTTCCCCCCGCAGCCGCCGTCCTACACCGTCGTCGCCGCCGAGGACGACGGCTGGCGGGGGAGGCTGCGGATACCGGAGCTGGCCGTCGGGGACGCCGCCGTCGACGTGATGAGGCTGAGGACGCGGCGGGGGAACGAGATCGTGGCCGTGCACGTGGCGCACCCCAGGGCTTCCTCGACCGTGCTGTACTCCCACGGGAATGCTGCGGATTTGGGGCAAATGATGGAGCTTTTCGTCGAACTGAGTAAGCGCTTGAGGGTCAATATCATGGGGTGAGTTCAAATTGGACGGGATTCAGTTCTCTGTAGAGAATTTGGAGCGTTCGGAGCTCACTCACTGATCTTTGCTTAGCTTGATGCTTAGCTCATAGAAGAAGCTGTGTGGTTGTGTCACTTCTTGTTGTAAGAATTTGCTATTTTACCTGCTGATCAAGTGAATTTAATGGCCTTTCCAATTAACCTTGTTTGATTTTTGAACTCATTCTGAATACTGAATTATAAAGACCAAGGTTCCCAGTTTTTTTTTGTTTTTGCGGTGCGCTGGATCTTTTGGTTCTTAAAGTGATGAAAAACCAATGGCAAACTTCCTATTGTGGGGTCATTTGTTGGTGTAGCTGTTTGCTTCTTGAACTAGTGCTCCATTAAGTTTCTGTAAGGGAGGTCTCTTTGCATTATCTTTTCCCCTGAGGCACAAGAAAACCAATTTTGGGTTTGGGTATTACTGTGGAGAACGTTATTCCTAAACTGAAGATGGAGGGCTGGATGGATTGGAGGATGCTGATTCTCTCCTGCCTGACCCGTGTGAATGATCTGAGGGATTGCTCCAATATTGATGTCCCCAGATCATTGGGAGGGGAAAATCTAATTTGTGACCCTTATTCATTGTGGCGTGTTGGCGTGGTGTCATCCATCATAACAAGTGAGGGCATTTGATTGGATGGCTAGCATCACGTCAGCATGCCACACAGTCTTAGTATTACATCCTAGTATTTCTTCCTTAATTAGTGACACCACAGGATAAATTAAAAACTCCTTTACTTATGTACTGGTCTTTGCTCTCGATGTATTATCCACTGTGATCAGCCAATGATAGATATAAAGGGTTGCTCACTGTTCCTCTGTTGCATGTTTCAGGTACGATTATTCTGGTTATGGGCAATCTACCGGAAAGGTTGGTGCGTGGTCTCTTTATAGCTTTAAGTAATTGCAGAAGAGTATTTTGTTTTAGTAATTCTTCAATTTCTACTTATTCAAGAAACTTATGCTTGAGCTTCCTGCACGACTCCTTTAAGATCAGTTGTAGTCGCAATTCTGAATATACACTCTGTATTTCAAGTCATTTGGTGAGCTCCATGTTTCATAGTAACTGCCATAGCATCACCATGTTCCTCAAAAGTAACAAAAATGCTGTCAAACACAAACACTTGTAATATATTTAGCATTATCATTGAAACAGATATCCAAATGTTGCAAGATAAATACAGAGTTTGGTTGCTGTATGACGAAAGATCTGTGGAAAGATTTACCTGCTAAACATCCATATTGTATTGATGACATTAGCTAACCTGGCATTTATTGATGGCACAAGATGGGATTATTGTGCTACAAAACAATTTTCATTAAATGCATAACAAATCTGCAGTTGTTTCGTAGCAGTTCACAATGCATCCTACGCCCTCAATGAACACCCCCCCTTCCTAAAACCGAAATGATGCCGAAGCAAATGTTATCTCATTTGGTAGGATCGAGTATATTAATCTTTTTTCATCACTGCACCTGATTCCGAATCATGTTTAGTATAACAATGAAGTGCTCCGTGTCTTTCCTTGTTATCTCCTTCAAATTTTGTTTTGGGTCTATCCGCAGTTGTTTTCACTTATAATGTCCAATTTTCATTTTGATAAACCTTAGTTATCTTGGCTAGCCCAACTTCGTTAAAATAGATTCAATTATATTTTCATCTCTTGTCAAGTGCCGACACATCCAAAGATGCATTGTCCTATATAATGCTCATCTGTGCTTGTCTTAGTGTTTGACCATCTAATATTCCATAACATAAAGTGTCGCTGATCTTATTACAGTCCTATAGAGTTTTCCCTTTAGTTTTGGTGAAATTCTGTGGTCGCACATGGGACCACATGAACAATCTAGCTTAAACTATAAGAGGAGATGCTCCATCAACTTCCCAATCCTTTTTCAAAATGGTTCCAAGATATGAAAGAGTGCACTCTTCTATACTCCCTGATCTCCGATTCTAACCATTATCTTGTTTGAACCTCTCCGTCCCCCTGACCAAAAATGACCCCTGCCAGCACGGCTGCCATAAGAGACCCATTCACGAAAAAAACTAGAGAGCAACAATTTCTTCTAACAAGAAAAACAGCAACTTTAGAAGGGAGGGAGAATGAACGAGATAGACCTTGGAATACCTGGGTCCAAAATTGCAGACTACACTGTGATAAATCTCATAATCACTGTGACTTTTACTGGCTCATAGGTATAATTTGCATCTACATTTTTCTTTTACTCTAAGTGCATTACTTTATCGATAATAACGTTCTGAGCACATGCTACTCTAATTTTTGTAATGTGCTGTTAGTCATCACTTGTTTTGCAAAATATAATCTCTATCTGCAGAGAGTAAACGTGCTATTAGAACAAGCAGATAATATTCTTCAAGTATAGTTAACTCTGTTCCATGATTTACATAAAAAGCTATCAGGCCACAAAATAATGAAAGTCCAATTCCGTGTTTTTCCTTATCAGCCAACTGAATATAACACGTACGCCGACATCGATGCGGCATATAAGTGCCTTAAGGAACAGTATGGAGTTCAAGACGAAAAGTTAATCTTATATGGCCAGTCTGTTGGCAGTGGACCTACTGTCGACCTCGCATCACGTGTTCCAAATTTGAGGGGTGTTGTATTACATAGTCCTATTCTTTCAGGACTCAGAGTGTTGTACCCTGTCAAGAGGACGTACTGGTTTGATATCTACAAGGTAATGTTTCTATACTGATAGTTTTCAGTTTGTTTTTCTTCCCCGATACAGGTTACTGAACTTTGTTTTTCACAGAATCTTGACAAAATAGGACTGGTGAATTGTCCGGTTTTTGTAATTCATGTAAGTCAACTTCCCTTTAAATACTGCAATCTTGTTGTCACCTCTCTCTCTCTCTCTCTCTCTCTCTCTCTCTCTCTCTCTCTCTGCATGTGGAGAGAAAAAGGTTTTGGTTTGTAAACAAGGAAAATGCAAACGTAGGAATAATTCAATATCCAAATTATAGTACAAAAACCAACTTTTTGATTATCATGAGTAAGAGATTACACCAACTGAATAATGATCCAGGGACAGATACCTGAATATTTGTTTGACATTGCTTTTTAGAAGTTATGACCCCGCAATTTTAGACACCTGAAATTTGGCCATTTAGAATTTGAAAGAGCCCAAATTCCAATAGAGAATGTGTCCGAAGATCACAATTTAAACAAGTGTGAGCACTTGAAATTGGTTGAAGATCCTCTATCTATCATGTTCCCATTCTAACAATTTTAACTGCTAATTACTTAATCATAAATGTCAAAAGATATATATTGTATTCACATGGTAATAGTGTGGTAATGACAATAGGAACACCATACTGAGACATGGATTTGAAATCAATCAATTAGAAACAAAATAAAAAAATGCTACCCACCATAGTATTTCTTCCAAGCTTAAAATAAGGTTGACAAAAATGTGTGTTTTTGTGTCATGTTTGTGTTGGTTATTCGTGTCATTTCATGTTATTACGTAAATGTCCCAATTTGACTACAATGTGCTTTTCAAAGAAAATGGATTAAAACATGTGAACGTATCAATATTGAGCGAAGTCGTGTTGAGTTTGGATTTCTCTATAGTAAATTTGTGTCATGTTCGATATGTTCTCATGTTGTTTCAGAAGTTGCCACTACTTAAAAGCTAAGGAATTAAAAGGGAATTTAAAAGAATCAATAAGTAACGTTCATTTGGGAAAACATTACTTTCTTTTCTTTTTCAATGTGTAACTCCTATGAAAATGTTAGCACTATCAAGTGATTATAAAATGCTTTGATGTAATGAGAACTTATCAATGACAATCTCCTTCTACAATGACATGAAAATCCCTGTTTGATTAATGATATATCACTTGTCAGTAAAGTTAAATCTGATCGTTATAACATCATTTAAGATGATTGCAAACAAATTACAACAAGGTAATTTGCTCTTATATTGTTGACCCCACTGGTGAAAACTCCAGGCTGTCCCTGTGATTATCTTTAGTTTAATTCTTATAGGAACAACACTGTTTTCTCCATTCAGAAAAGATTGTTAAGCAAACTAAATTCTAGAGGAAAGAATCCACAAAAAATGCTTGAGATTTGGGAGAAACAGTTAGAAGTAACAACTTCACACTGGTAGTTTCTTTCCATCCCCTGACAAGCATTGCAATAATTCAACCTACGAACTGGTTGGGGGAACTCTTCAGCGTACTTTGTTTGGAATTTGTTCTTACTATTGCATGAAAAAATGGGAACTTTGCTTCGCGGGATTATAATTCTTGGGCCTTGTTACATGTGAAATGTTCTGTGTTGTTATTTTACTCTTTCTGGTTTTTCTCGTGTTTCTCTTTAGCCATGATGGTGGTGTTGTTTCAAGCCACAACTCCGCCATGATTGGAGGCTATTTTTGAAGAGTAATTTTCTGATGATCTCTTTCTTCTTCTTCTTCTCCTTCTTCAGGGAACTGCAGATGAAGTAGTTGACTGTTCGCATGGGAAACAGCTATCGGAGCTTTGTAAGATTAAGTATGAACCTCTGTGGATAAGTGGGGGTGGACATTGCAATCTCGAGCTTTACCCGGAATACATTAAGCATCTAAAAATGTTTGTATTGAGCTTGAACAAAGCAAAAGTCACGACAAACAATACAAAGGAGAGCAATGGAGACTCTGAAGCCCAAAAGAAATCATCAGATACTGGAGCTTCGGATACTTTTGAGTTGGCTCCAGATCTTCCTGAAGTTTCCAGGAACAGCTTAGATAGTCGGCTGGAGAAGTCTAAGAAATCAGTAAAGCCTGAACAATCTCGTATGAGCACCGATCGTCTTGACTGGTTTAGGAGAAAAAGGGGCTTAATTTGGTGAAAATACAGCCAGCCATTTAACTCCCACCAGAACAGGTTTTTGGTTTTCATATTTACTCACCCAAGAAGGTATATATTCTTTATTTGCTCTGTAACAGTGTATCAATCTTAGATGGAAACAAAACACTGAAGTGTGATTTGAGCTAAGCTGTAATTTGTATGTGTGCATTGTAGAAGTTCAATTGAACATAATAAATCCTTTGTACTCCTGTGGAGGTAGTGCATAGTTGAAACTCAAAGGGAATGATTTCGTAATTAGACGGATCATCTTCTTCTATATACACTTGCCCATCTTTGTTCTTGTTTGTTTAAATGCACTCCTGTCTCAGAATCTTATCAGTTCATGCAGATTTTGTGCAGAGCAACCACTTTGGGAGGTAAGTCTCTCTTTATCTACTTTTGAAGCAATACCTGTCCTTAGAGATCCCACCATGTTTACTTAACTTTTTGGGTCAGAATGGAAGGACGCACATACTTGACCATTGGCAATATCTCGATGAGGATAGGGTATTTTATGCATCTGTGATACGGGTGATGGAGCAATCTCTTTTCAATAAAATGATTCTGCATCATCCACTTGTGCTTGGATTATGAGATAGTTTCTGGGTTAATTGGCTTGTCCAGCCATGTCTAATTAGATACATAAGGTTCTCTCTCCTTTGAGAAAATACAGGGAGGATCTATCTGAAATGCAACTGTGTTGACACCTAAATATTTGCCCAAAGGTCATTTTCATATTTTTTTTTCAAAAAAAAATTGGAACTTATTTTCCTTTAAAAAAATATTTTATTCATTACATGTTGCATTCTTGCATTTTGCATTACTAGGGTTTTTAGTAGAAGTTTCAAAATTTTGGTTAGATGGTTTAAAATTTAATCCCAGCAAGAAAAGGAGAAGCAAAAAAGTAAATATTGTCTTTCATTTGGCACATCACATGTGCATTTTTGCATTTAGAGATTCTTTAGGTCATTTTTTAGATCCTTTTAATTGAGTGGAGTTGATATTGAGATTTGCTTGTTGGAGCTTTACAATCAGGAGAGAATTTATGATCAATTTGGTCTTGGATAATTTTTGTACTAGTTCCACATGTGCATAGAATTAAATTCAGCATTTACATATGGCGTTACTATTTTCATTTCGCATTTAGCTCGGGTTTAAGCACTCATAATAGTTCATGCATATTGTTGTTCACGGGTCCTGCCCCGGGCCAAAATAAGAAGGCAATGCCGGCTATCTACTCTAAGTACTATTTACTCTATGTTGTTCGAATTTGTCGCAACCCGCCAGATTTTCCAATGGGAAGGGGGAAGATGAAAATAGGTGTCAACAGAATTGTTTTAGCATGTATGCACTTTAGATTAGGGCATATTTATATATTGAGAATCACAACGAAGTTGAAAACACCAAAATTTGTAGAGGGGAAGTGGGAGTCGAGGCTCTCCCCAAGTCATATTAGGCCAAACTTACGCCGCTTTGTCTTTTGAGTTATCACATATTCATGTATCAATAAATGATACACATTAATTTGTACTCAGAAGTACAAGTGCTTACATACTTCCTACATTGTGATCAACTCTATCGGTCACACTACCAGTAAAATGAGTGCAACTCGTATTATTTTTCGAAACAAAATGACAGAAAAGGGTAGAATGTAAGAAAGATGCGTATGGGAAGGTTTCAATATGTTCCATGCTTGAACAAGTTGTCTGTTTAAGATGGGAAAGAAACCTTTCTGGTTTTGGAATTTGGTAGATTCGCTCTTTTGGTTCTTAGCATTTTGTCCTCGTTGTGATTCGCATTCACGGCGTTCATCTTTTTTGCTGAAAAGGGCAGGTGGGATTGTAAGCACCGGTTTCTGTGGAAGGTGGAAACTTTCTACAATCTGAACCGGTCCTTACTCAAGAGGGCGTACTCGAAACAGCTAATTCCTTGTCCTTTGAAGATATTCTGGCCCAGATTGCTTCTGAGCCAGAGTACTTTTTGTCTAACATCGACCATTGTAGTTTTCTGAGTTGGTTAATTTTACTAGTAGTGAGATTCACAATGGGGTCTACTTAAGAAAACATTGACCCCGAGTGATGCGATTGGTTTTTCCCCCACCACCACAATGGTCGAACGAGTCTCCCTTCGTTCCATTTTGCCCCGTCCTAGGCCCGACTTCGGCCTTTGAAGGATCTACATACTCCTTCCTATCATTTATCAGCATGCTTTAGAGAACTCCCTCAAAGCAATCGCGCCTGCGTAATCTCCGGAAGTCACCTCCTCGAGCACGGACCTATGTGTCCAGATGATCGTACCGCGCGCGCGCAAAACGACAGGATCACTGCATTCGATTGGATTAGCTTCGCGATCGAATGCTCAAAGAGTGGGAACAGTCAGAAAGAAAGGACGAAAAGGAGGACTTGGCACATAGCAATGGATGACGCTGGCCCCGGTCCTTTCGGGTGCGCTGTTTGGTTGAGAGTCGAGCAAACAAATTTGACTCCCTTTGATCACGTTAACGACAAATGACGTGAGGACGGCGTTGAGCATTAGAAGCATTAGAAGCATTCCTTGACAAGTCCAAGTGGGCGGCTCTTGCTGCGGAAGGTTTTCTTGGCCCCATTTTGCTTGTGACTGTTGATACGAAGAAGATGCTCGCTTCCATTGAAGACGGTACACGGCTTCACCTCCCCGACACGGCTTAATCGGTTGAAGAATCAACTCAACTACCCCCGATTACCAATAGAAGACTCCCCAACAAGGAGATCCATTTCTTTCCAAGTTAACCATTAAGTCTTCTCTCTCGAAAGTAGGTTGACTCCTCCAAGGCTGAAGTCAACTGACAAACTCAGCAATGCTTAACCCTTATCTTCTCGTCGTTGCCGCCGCCTTCTTCTTCTTAACATTTCCTGCATCTTCCGCTTCCGTCGATCAGCAGTATGTCGACTGTGGGCGCCAGTTCAGCTGCGGGAACATCCAGAACGCGAGCTATCCTTTCTGGGGTAGTCCTCTGCCCTTCTACTGCGGGCTACCGGAATTCAAGCTCCTCTGCGAGGACGAAGTCACGACCATAGAAATCGCGTCGCAGAAGTATCGGGTCCTCGAGATCGACCACGACAATCACGTCCTGAAGCTCTCGAGATCAGACTTTTACGATAATATATGCCCCCCAAAGATCGTCAACACCACCATGAGCTACCTTTTCATATATACTAGCCAATTTGGTAACCTCACGCTGTTCTACAACTGCTCGTCCATGAACACATCTATTGCCTCCGGCAAATTCAGTTGTTATGGAAACGATGCATACAATGAGAGCAACTATTACACAATCGGTCCTGCTTTGAGTGGTGGAGGATTCGGTTCTTGCCATGCCAGTGAGACTATTCCGGTTCTTCCGACAGCATCAGAAATCCTGATGGAGAATAAGACATCCTCGCTTGGTGAAGTGATCAGAGAAGGATTCAAGGTCCAGTGGGTCGTGGATGACACGGCGTGCACTGAATGCCGGAGCTCCGGCGGACGATGTGGATACAACACGAGCTTTTTCCATCCCATCTGCTTCTGTCCCGATCGGCCTTATCTATTAAGATGTCCCTCCGGATCAGGTAACAGCTGCATTTCCTTGACGACATAAATCATCGTTGTCTGCGCTAAGATGCAGTTCAGACATGGTTTTTTCTGGGATGCGAAATGACAACGTCCCACAATTTTTATTGTTCAGGATCCAAGTTGAGCTTGGAAGCTGGGGTTCTCATAGGTAATACCTCGATTGAACTGAATTATTTCTTTGTTTTGGTATTAAACTGAACTGATCTGTCTATGGCTTTCTGATATACCTCTTCACCTAATCCACGAAAGCTGAGCTTTTACAGCCTCATATTGGAAATATTCGTGTTGTCTACTTTTCGACCCCGAACTTATGGATTCTGCATTTTAAGGTGCGATAATGCTTGGACTCGGAAGTATAGTCGGGACGATATTCCTCGTCCATCGCTTGATGAGAAAATCGATGTCGGATAGTGTAATTTTCTTCTGGAAGAAGAAATCATCGGGCACCAACAGAGTGGAGGCGTTCCTAGAGAAATGTGGAGGCTTCGCCCCGAGAAGGTACAGTTACAAAGATGTCCAGAAAATGACCAACTCCCTCAGAGATAAGCTAGGTCAGGGAGGCTATGGCAGTGTGTACAAAGGAGAACTACCCGATGGCTCTCTAGTGGCAGTGAAGATATTGTCCGAGTCTAAAGGCGATGGGGAAGAATTTCTCAATGAAGTCGCCAGCATCAGCCGAACTTCGCACGTAAACATCGTTACTCTACTCGGGTTCTGTTCCGAGGGGTCAAAACGGGCTCTTGTTTACGAGTTCATGCCTAATGGATCACTGGAAAAGTATATATTTGCAGAGGGTCAGGCAATGGATGTTGATCGACTAGAGTGGGAGAAAATCTACCAAATTGCCATTGGTGTCGCCCATGGCCTGGAGTACCTGCACAGAGGATGCAACTCGAGAATACTTCATCTTGACATCAAGCCGCAAAACATCCTTCTTGACCAAGATTACTGCCCTAAAATCTCTGATTTTGGTCTTTCAAAGCTGAGCAACAGGAAAGAGAGCGCTATGTCTATGATGGGCGCCCGAGGAACCGTGGGGTACATAGCTCCAGAAGTCTTCTCGAGAAATTTTGGAGTAGTTTCAGACAAGTCCGATGTCTACAGCTTTGGGATGATGATCCTAGAAATGGTGGGTGGAAGAAGAAACATCGAGGCTGGACTTACAAACAGCAGCGAAGTTTATTTTCCGCACTGGGTGCACAGCCAAATGATGTTGAAGGAGGATCTGAAACTGCAATGGAATGTGAATGAAACAGGAAAAGAAGCAGCGAAAAAGATGATCCAGGTAGGTCTATGGTGTATCCAGACGTGTCCGGGGAACCGGCCATCGATGGATAGGGTGGTCAATATGTTAGAGAGAAGGCATGAAGCTCTCCAAGTGCCACCTAAACCCTTTCCTTCTTCTCCTCCTGCACCGCACATCAATCCTGCAACATCTGCTTCTCTTCATTCATCGCAAGGCAGTACAAACCTTCCTTCACATTATTCACAAGACTAGGAAGGCAATCAATTGCAGATAAGCTAACCATTGTTCAAAACTTCTGTTTCAGTGATATACATAAAGTGGCCGGTTCAGCTAGAAGATAATCATATTCTTCATTCTTAGGAAGATTAAGAACACTTGATGTAAAAGGTTGGCACCTTATTGATGATTCATGTGCTGGTGCGTAAGAAGACTGCAATATTATTATACCACATAAAACTGCATCTGCAGCTTCAGTCCGCGCTCTCTTTGTGAAATCAATTTAGAGAGATTTTGACAGCTTAAGTAGAGTCCCAATTACGTTGCGTACATTCACAAAGAAGCATTGCTTCTGAACCAGAATAACGAACCAACCCCACTTGATCAAAAGAAGCTTTGTTTTATTGATTCATCCCCATCACATCTAAATTCGACCGTTAAATACTTGATACGAGTTTAAGGCCCCTTTCGAGACAGAGAAGTCAAAATACCTGAACATATAGGCAAGCCCGTATTGCTCACTAGAACTTAAGCCACTCAAGATCTACTTTCTCTACATTTCTGTCATTCGCTCTGACGATGGACATCGAGTCTATAACCCATTGATGACTATTGAGAGCGAGATAATTTGTAGTATAAATCTTCTCTTCTACTTTAAAAGTATTTCCTAGTCCAGGATACCGGACCATCTTAACAGGCAACATCATTTACAAGCAAGTGCCACAATTAGGAAGCAACGCAAATGAAAATTCAAGTACCCAAGTCAAACAAGAATTTAGACAACAATTGGCACAAAGCCCTTCATAATTCACATCACCTTCTTGGATCCATCATCTATGGGGTCTTGGAGTGTTCCAAACATCCAGTCCATCCAGATGGTGTAGTGGCCATAATTATGGCGATATGTGGTATGGTGGATAGTGTGATAACCAGCACCCATTACAGGCCAAAGCTTACCATGGATGCAGTCATGGATATTTGCTGTCCATATCGCCTCTAGAAATAGGAGAGCGATGTGCGTTGTAAAATGGGTTGGCACAAGGAATAGTGCCATAACATGTGGCACTGCCTGCAGTATCCCATCTAGAGGATGAAATGCCAAGCCTAAAATAAAGAAACAACTTATGATTAGTCTTGTACTTTATGCATACATGAAAATACGAACAAAAGAGAGAGGGATTGTATTATTCACAGGGTGAGGGCATGGAGAAAAACATACCATAAGCATTCAAGGTGAGACAAGGAACAAGAAAAATGCAGTACATGAAGAAATGGAAAGGAGAAGGCGAACATTAGCAGTAACTGGTAACACATTTAATTGCCACTAACAGATAAGTAAACAATATTGGGAAAAGATAACACGAAACAGCTCTGATAAATAAGCCGTCAATAAAATCATTTTTTCAGATTGCCAATAACATCATGTCCATGATCTGCAGATGCCTTACTGTGCCTAACTTGATACCTTGAGAAATATGGCTGCTAAGTAGGAATTACGCTGGGAAGAGTAATTGCCTGGGTGTAATTTTTGTTTGCAGCTAGATTTTACGTGAAACTCAACATAATTCATACATCATGGGTTGCTCCTTAAATGTCATCCAACTTTGTTTCAGCAAACTAAAGGCCTAGATAGGAGGTTTATGGCCCAACTTCTGTTTCTACCGTCTAATTGTGATCTGACTTATTTTCAGCATCAAAAACCAACTAGCGAAAGTCAACATAGAAGTTAAAAGAAACACCAGGGCCAGCAGCTTGGGCTGGGGTTGTCTTTCGAGTAAACACGAAAAAGGAAAGTATTAGAATTATCATTCCGAATGGTGTTATACAAGAACATATAGTCCACCTTTTGTTAGTTTTTTTTGAAGTCAAAGATATAACAATTCTTAAAGCTACAGATTCGAAACATATGCAGATCATAGCTAATGCAAAATGTCAAACCGAAATAAAACCGGAGAACTGCACCTAAAACTTAAGAGTCATCGCAAGCAACTTGACCCAAGATTCGAAACATATGCAGATCATAGCTAATGCAAATGTCAAACCGAAATAAAACCCGAAAACTACACCTAAAACTCAAGAGTCATCGCAAGCAACTTGACCCCCTCTCTCTAACAAGATCGTAGGTCCTATGAGCTCAAAGCAGTACTTTTGTCTTGTGATATCATTACAAAAACCAGGGTGATGATATACATTTGAACAACTTATCACCCTATCCTGCTTTCAAAGTGTTTTGCATAGCAGGAAAAGTCTGCAACTTGTCCTTTAATATCAAGAGCTACGGAAGGAGAAGGATTTAGCAACATCTATCTAGAGAGCACTTCAATTAAATAAGAGTGGCAAGAAGGGGCCACATGCTGACACAAAAGAGGAGTGAGTAGAATATACAATATGCCGTACCCACGAAAGAAAAGGAGATCTTCGATAACATCTTCTAAACATCTCTCTACCCAAACCTAATAACACTTGTTTTATAGGTTCAGTTACATTGTAGAATCTAAAGATCCAAGGACACTGTATGCTAAGTTTTCAGATTGCATCAATCAATACAAATTAAAGGAGCACGGGTACAAAACCAAATACTGTTACAAGATCATGCAGTAGCCAGGTGTAGCACTCAAATTAAGCAGCAGCAGAACATAATCGAAACTCTTGGATTTGGACTTTCAGCAATAAAAGTAAGCAAATGTACAATCATTTGCATAATTCTATTGATTGAACAAAAATAAAGTCTACCAACAAAGGGCATGTTACTGCACTTAGCAGACTGAGAACTCACCAGCAAAAGGAGAAAGTGTGTTCTGCTTATTGTAGATGTGATGTGTTGCGTGGAGATGCTTGTAAAGAGGTTTAATGTCATGCAGCTCCCTGTGCATCCAATATATCCCAAACTCCACCAGTACAAGATAAATTGACATGTACACAAGGTATGCAAGCCAACCAACATCGCTTATTCTTGAATAGCATTTCGTCCATCCATTTTCAACCATGTATTCAGAAAGTGATGGAAGAGCAGAGTACCATGGCATTGCCTTCATCGCAACATATATTTGCAACAGCATTGCCTTCTTCGTAGGAATCTCATCTGCAGCAAGAGAATTTGACAGATTGAAAAAAAATACACAACAGTCTAGCAACCAGATATCATTACTGAGTTTAAATAGACAAGAAATATCGTAGGCTAGCCCAACTACAAGTGCATATAACATAATCTCGCACTGGAAATAATGTATAACGTTCTCTCCGAGAAAAATCTTATCAGCAAGGAAGCAGTCACATAGTATTTTAAGCCCTACAGAGAATGTTGATGACTGCCATTTGCTTGACAAAAAATAGTCGACAGGGATCCAACTAGCAGACTTCTTTGATGAACAGCTGAACATAATCACAGCTTTTAAAGCAAGAAACAAGTCAAAGTGTCTTCTCCATGAATAAAAGCATGCATTAATAAGCTGATTTCATAACCTGTTAAATGCGACCCAGTTAAGCTGAGCCTAAGAATGGTTTAATGTCAAGATCCAGAGGGCACAAAATTATAGATACCGATGCTTGCTGAATTAGCAGCACTCCCCATTTGAATTGATGATGTAGATGACCTAGAAGTTACTTGGATGGTTTATGGCAGCCAGGGAATTCCAAAAGGAAAAAAAAATAATGAAATATCTGCAGGACACATCTCACAGATCATGAAGGAAGGAAGAAACTGCATTGCACAACATCTAAAAACTAAACGAAATATTCTGAAGAAAATGCATCAAAGCACAGAATTTGTTAAACAACGGTCCAGCCATCTAAATATCTGGTAAAAAGAGAAAACCTTTCAAGGTGATGGAAGTAAGTGAAAAATCAAAACTTTTAGAAAGCATAAAGCGGCTGTCAACAGCACTTACAGCAGATTAGATTCTAAGATGTTCTGCATCAACCATTTAACATGGAACAAATTAAATCATTGAGCCACTTCGAAGGAAACATATAACCCACTCTACAAGATAAATTGAGATCGAAGAAACTAATCTAAATCAAATCCAAAATAGAGAAAGGGAACAGTGTTTCTAGGAATCAGCCAATGGAAGGAAAAACAAATACAAATTATTTGAGTTATACTGCGTCATTCACAGAATAGCACACATCAACATCACATCTCTGTAGCAAATTCAATCCATCAATCTGACAATCACACCCACCCTATTTATGCTTATGAATACTGACCATAAAAATAGTAGAGGCTCATCATGCCATGAGGAGAATCAGGAAAAGAAGAAAACTTTAAAGAGAAACCCAGAGAGAGAGAGAAAAAGGATAAACCAAGAAGAGAAAAGAGAAGCTACCCTTAGGGACGTAAACATTGCGCTTGAGGTAATAGATGTAGGAGCACCACAAGAAGCCGGAGAGGAAGTAAACAAGGGATCCGCCGATGAAGTTGCGGATCCAGGTCTGGAGGAACCGGGGCATCGGCTCCCACGCCGACGCCGGCAGGAGGCTGCCCAGGACAATGCGGTTGTACAGGGATGTCTCCGCCGTGAACAGGCCCAGGTAATCGGCGTCCATCGCGCCGGCGAGGCTGGTCGGGTGGGGGATCGGAGGGAACGTCGCCGGAGATCGGGAGCCGGAAGCGCGGCGCGTCAGTTGTGGGGGGGCAGGAGGGAGCGGCGACCCAGGTCTCGAATTGCAGTGAGGAATAGTGGGTGGGCAGTGAACTTGACTTGTAAGGCACGATGACGAAGAAAAGCTCGGTTGATTAGATGGAAAAGGCGAGGAAGACGACGAGACAGAGAGACGAAGACACGGGGGGACAGGGACAGAGAGACGCAGACACGGGGAGGAATATCTTTGGTTGGCTTGGCCAGGATGTTGACAAATGGAGTTGGGTGTGTGGCCACACACTTCTTCAAAAGATCTCTCTCTCTCTCTCACTGCAAAGTGCATTCTCTCCTCGGAGCCAGCGCAGATAATTCTCTGGCTTCCATTCTTAAAAAAAGAAAAGGAGGATCGACGAATCGGGCCTGCACCACCGATTCAAGAAGACCGATCCGATTCCTGATACTAAAAAAATAAGGGGAGCCGAGTCCGATTCCAGAAACTGGAAATCGGCCTTTATCGATCCGGATCCGACCGGTTTTGTCCAAAACAGAAAAATTAAATCTACTGATAGGGAGAAAATTCCAAATAAAGATCCGATGTTGTTTCATTTGGCCACGGCGTACCAGTTTAAAATTTTTGGGGTGTTGAGCCTTAAAATTACCACGGGAATAAAATGATACTTTTTTTCAAAGCAATTTGCATTGGTAACACAAAGTAAAATCAACTCTATCTCCAACGACTTACATCAATAACTTTGTCGGGGTACAACCTAAGTCATCCCGAAGAGGAACTAATGGGAATAACAACATGCACTAGCACTATTTCGGTAATACGAAGCGCGTGTTTTTAACGGTAAGGAAGAGACGTCATAGTTAATTGTAATGATAGGATTCAAACATTGAAATGATAAAAAAAAAAAGTACACCTATTACTTAAAAGATGGTTGCACGATAACCTTAACATTTTCTTTCTCTAACTCTCAAGTTAGCAAATCAATATATGATTTTATATACTTAAAATATTTCCGCGCAAAGCACGGGTCTTCATATTAGCATCACCTTACTTGAGGGCAAATAAAAGGAGATAAGTGTACTTGAAGCTCTAAAAATAGTCAAATTGATGCAATCAAGTCATTCTGTTAACTCCGCCCAACTTGGTTAAGGGGAAATACTAATTTGATTTTTTTTACTTTTTTATATTTCCTACGTGGCATTGACCTTACTAAAACATGAAATATAAGACTAAAATGACATTATTTTGATCCAAATCCTAATTTTTTTAGCCAAAATATTAATTTAGTTAAATTAATAAAAATAAAAAGTTGAATTTTCTTTAGAAAAAGGGAAAAGGAAAGCCAAGGGCGGAAAGCCCTCGCCGCTGCCAGTGCCGCCGCCACACCATCACTGTAAATGGCTGGCAGGGGTCGCCCGGCCCTCGCCAGCCATCGCTGAGCCCCGCTGGCCCTTCCCAGCGATGGTGGGGCGACGGTAAGGGACTACTGCTTTGGTTTTTTTTTCTTTTTTTAAAAAAATAGCTTTTATTGTTTAATCTAATTTAATTAAGATTTTGGTTTATTAAATTAGGATTTTGATCAAAAAGACGTTATTTTAGTATTATGTTTCATGTTTAAATAAGGTCAATGCCACGTGGGAGAGTGAAAATAATAAAAATGGCAATATCATCATTTTCCGTTGGCCTAGTTTGACGGAGTTAGAGGAACGACCCGATTGAACCAATTTAATTAGGGCAAAAGTACACCACAAGTGCCATAACTTGTGTACGGCGATCACTTTGATGCCATAACTTTTTTTCGGATCACTTTAGTGCCAAGTTGGAGGAAAAGAGATCACTTTAGTGCCAATTTGGCCGGAAATCCGACGTGGCATTTTTTATTAATTTTTTAAGCCGACGTGGCTTGCGCGGAGGCTGAGTCATCGTGTACAGTCAGCATTTTTTATTTTAAATAATTTTTTTCAGCATGTATAATCAGCATTTTTAATTTTAAATATTTTTTTTCCTTTTTTTTTTCTTCTTTCCTTTTTCTTTTCTTTTCTTTTTTTTCTTTTCTCCCCTCGCCGGCCGGCCACCGGCGAAGCCCGGGAAGGGCTGGGCGAGGGCGACCTTGCCCATGGCCGGCGAGGGGCGGCAGACCCTCGCCGACGACAGGCGAGGCCGACTCTCGTCGGCCCAAGTGAGGCCGCCCTTCGCCGGCCCAGGCGAGGGCTACCCTCGCCCGACGCCGGCGAGGGTCGCCCGACGCCAACGAGGGTCGCCCTTGCCCGACGCCGGTGAGGGTCGCCCTCGCCAAATCCGGCGAGGGCGACCCTCGCCGGCGTCGAGCGAGGGTCGCCCACGCCCAACTCATGCGAGGGCGACCCTCGCCCGACCAGCGAGGCGGCCCTCGCCGGCGTCGGGCGAGGGCGACCCTCGCCCGCCGTGCGAGGGCTTCCTTCACCCGACGCCGGCGAGGGCCGGCCTCGCCTGTCGCCGGCGAGGGTCGGCCGCCCCTCGCCGGCCATGGGCAAGGCCGCCCTCTCCCAGCCCTTCCCGGGCTTCGCTGGTGGCCGGCCGGCCACCGGCAACCGGCCGGCGAGGGGAGAAAAGAAAAAGGAAAGAAGAAAAAAAAAGGAAAAAATTTATTTAAATTAAAAATGCTGACTGTACACGCTGAAAAAAATTATTTAAAATAAAAAATGCTGACTGTACACGCTGACTCAGTCTCCGGCGAGCCACGTCGGCGTCAAAAATTAATAAAAAATGCCACGTCGGATTTCCGGCCAAATTGGCACTAAAGTGATCTTTTTTCCTCCGACTTGATACCAAAGTGATCCGAAAAAAAGTTATGGCACCAAAGTGATCGCCGTACACAAGTTATGGCACTTGTGGTGTACTTTTTTCATTTAATTAGTTTTAGGACTTAATTGTAACTTTTGAAAATTTTAGGACTCGATCGCATTTTCGTGATAATTTTTGAAATTTTCGACTCACTTATCCCTCAAAAAAAAGTGCAACCATGTTTGGACCATTCACCGGAACCTAGGCTCGCCTTATGCTTGGTTCACAAGATAATTGGAGTATGTTTAAAGTTTCACAAACTCGAGATTGATCTCATTAAGATTCGTTTGCTAGTCATTAGAAAGGACGTGTAGCTCCCCGCCCATTTTTCATGGCCAACAACATCATCTTGATGCATCGAGATGTGGGGGACTTTTGACTGATTCTTGGCATTTTTGGCTTTCTAGCCCACAGAATCGAAATTTTGCCCGACTCAATAACAACAGCTTCTGCATGTAAAACGAAGTTTGGCACGTGAACTTGAAGTGAATTGTTCATATGGCCCATGGATTGCCTTTAGGAAAATAATACAAATGACACTGAACTTTGACCCAATATATAATGACTTCTATGACCATTTAATTTGTTTAGCACAGCATACAATATCGTTCTTGAACTTTTAAGTTGTTCAATATGGTCCGTGAATTTTTTATACATGTTCAATCTCGTCCGTAAACTCTATAAAAATGTTTAGTGCAATCACTCCATTACTTCAAGTTAATGGAATTTGCTCATTTGACTTTCAACCCGATACGTTTGACAACGTTACATGTGAATTATTCACGTAAGATTATAATAATCCATGTTATCAAATAATATGGATAATCATTTTTCCAAATTGAACGTATTAAAACGATTATTATATCCTAATTTGAGTTGAATATCTTACGTGGATAATCCATATGTAATGTTATTTTTTTGTCCACCTTTCAGACTTACCGGATTAGAAGTCAAATGAGCAAATTCCGTTAACTTAAATTAATGGAATGATAACATTATATATCTAGGGACTAGATTAAATATGTATCAAAAGTTTATGAAGCACATTAAATAAATTAAAAGTTCATGGACGATATTACATATCGAACCAAAGTTTATGGACCATTTGTATAATTATCACATCGTTTTTCACGAATAAAAAGGACAGAGAGATACGATTGACCTGGCGCATTGAGTGTCCCCATAAGAGTCTCGCGCTTATAAGGAACGCTTGAATTCAATTACAAGTACCCGACACCGTCTGATACACCAATGTGTCCCATTTTGTCGAGGCGATCTCGCCGGCAATTCCATCAACGTGCCTATAGGATCAAAGGGACCAACTAGAGATTCGCTCGCGATGTAATTCGAATTTGCAATCACCGCTGGAGGGAGCACGTGCGGTGGCGTAGCCCATAGATTTCAAGGGACCAAAAACCTGGTGCCCAGGTCAGGTGTTAACTGGCCACGAGTGTCAGGTGGCGAAACCGTGGACAGCTAGTTGTGCGGGGCTCGGATGAGTTAAATTGCAATTTCTGATCCTTGATGCAACACGACAACTGCACATTTCGCAAGCTCAAGAATCTCGCTCACATGATCTCAGATGGGACTCGAACTGCATCGTTTCTCGATCACATGATCACAAGTCAGACTTTACACGCGAGATGACAATAAATTCTAGATTAATCATCAGTTTTGCAAAGCAAGTTATGATTTCATGAGATGATTAATTACGTGAAAGCTCGTCAGAGCACACGAGATCGTGTTTAGTTTTTACTGGGCTTTTGTTTTTTGTTCATACTAACTTGTGATTAAGACGTAAGATGGCTCGATGTGTATTGAGTGCAAATAATAATGGGAGAGTCCGTCCAAGCGCCCCCACCCAAATAATTCTCGACGAAATTAGGGATGGAAGGACCTTTGGGGGCTTGCACCATGTACGGTCCCATCTCCATTTTATAACCGTTGGATTCACGTCACGTGACGATTTAGATCAATTAGGGAAAAGACGCCTTAACAGCATTCAACGTTGTTTCTTCCCTTTGTCTTAACCGCGAGACCACCCGACCTTGCCATCTCCGAGGAACCAATCACCGGACTTTACGCATGACCGCTAATGAGCCGATCAAGCTACTCCGTCCTTATCTCTCTCTTTCCAAGAAAAAACCCTCGAATATACTTTTTTTTAGGTGTCATTCATTTGTATCTGCTCGTAGTTGGTGCAATGCATGTGAATGAAAAGTAATGTTTAATAATAAAATTCAACTAGTAATAAGGAATTAAGTCATGAATTCTTCCTAAGATAAAAGGAAGAGTTAGCATATAGCCGTCACATCTCCACCTAATTTCTTTTGTAACGGTAAGAATGTGGTGTTGTTCGCCATCTCTCTATATATTTTTACAATACAAGGTATCCGAATCATTGTACATCAAGTAAGATATCACTCACGGGATATTGGGTGTGACACCTGAGGACAAAACTCGACTATTTTGTCATTTGGTGCAGTGATGAATAACTCCAATGTGGCTCGTCGGCATTCCCAGTCAGCATTTATAGTCCATAATACGTTGTCTACATGTTTTGCCCCAAATATAAACCCTAATTGGACAATCAAGTCTTTTCTCAATTTCTTCGAACTCCAATCGGTTTCCCCCAAAATTAAGAGCTAATTCTTGCAAATGGAGAGCAAGAGCAGGATAAGCGGCTCAAATTCGTTTCAATGAAGTAAAGAAGAAGATGATTATTATTGTTATTTTAGGCTCAGATATCCAAGAAGAACATCTTGGACTTGGTTGAATCCCGGGAGAAGATTCCATAGATGCGCAAGATATAAAGAAGGCTTGAAGTATAAATATTTCAAATGGATTGATGCGAAATTTTCAGATCAAGCAACAGAGATAATCTTGGAGCTACTTGACAGACGACATCAACCTCCACCTACATTAGCGGACGAGTTACACAATGCAGACTCAGTGCAAGAAATATGAAGGCTTTAGCATCTCTAGCTAACCATTTAAAGAATTCAAAGATGAAAAGTGAAAGAAAGTTCTATCGAGTGTTGACTGTGTTGATGTCTTGTTTAGCATATTTTATGCTCAGATGTAAACTAAGTGATGGGAAGAAGTTTCTCGAACTATCATAGTTGAAGATCAACGGAATATGTACTTGTATTGGGGTAATGAATTCTAGTTACCTATGCGTGTTTTCCTAAATGTCATAATTTGAGGGTCATTAGATTCTAGTAGGCTGTGATTTCCAAGTTTCGATTTAAATTCCAATTTCATTTTCGATTGCAAAAGTTTAATTTCGGTTTCGCGCTTTAATTTTCTTTATTTTCAGTCAGCAGTGGCTTCGACAATTTATAAGGAGTAGGGCAAATACCCCTAGACAAATTGCAGATATTTCGATTATTAGCATAAATATTCTAAGCGTCGGTTACTTTGACCCCACTAATTTCTATATTTTGACCCCAATAAACTATCTGTTTGAAGAACAATATTAACCTCACGAAAACTTTAAAAACCCAAGATACAATGAAAAAGGTCAAACTTAAAAACCTACTCGATAAATTCAGGTACGACAAAAATAAATATAATTAAACTTGAAATTGAGTTCTCAAAATTAAATTTTTGCATGATTGTGATTTTGGTTCCCATTAGCATTGAATTATGTTACAATACATTCGATTGAGCTAAATTTGAAGGTTATTTTTAGTTACATCTTGTTAATGAGTACTTCGAGACATTTATTAAGCAATCTTTTTTTGTCGAATTTATTAAGCAATCACACATACAAAAAAATTACGGATTTCAATGTACTACATTCGTATCATGTATAATCAATGCATTAAATTGAAACATTTCTTATCATTATATTTAACCAGTGTCCCATAGTCAATCCTTCATAAATAACAAGACTCAAGCTTTGGGCTATTTTATCTCAATAATGTAATTGTGTAATGTGATCTAGTTCAATCACATGCAAGAGTTAAGACCTGACTTGTTTTGCAAAATTTTGTTTAGTGACTCTTATGTGCATATAATATGCTGTCATTGTGCGCGCGCTAAGTTTAAAGGACGTCCATGAGTTAGTTTTAGACAATTTGTATGGTTAGGTAACTAGTATGTTGTAACTTAGCTCAATCGTGAAATATATTCAACAAAAATGAAGATTGTGGATCAAATTTATATTTAAGTTTAAAAATTAAAAAATAAGTTAAAAAATCAAATTTATATATTCAACAAAAATGAAGATTGTGGATAATGTTGTTAACATAAATGCAGTACGATGTTTGAGAATGAATTCTGTGGTGGATGTTTTCACGCGCGAAAGATTTTTTTTTTTCTAAGAATTGCTCTTGGCCACATGTTTGTGCACAGACAGCTAGAGAAGAAAAAATCTCCAAGTTGTTGGCTGTGCTATAAATCTTGGAGAAGAGACACCGCGAAGGAGTTCAACCAGACTATCGTCTAAGTTTGGAGGAGACGATTTTCAAATTTCGTAGTCTAAAGATGCATCGTGATCGCGTGAGCATAACTATCAAGGATGATGAAATCTGGGAGCAGAGAAGGGCCAGATTGAAAGCACTAGAGTCAGTTCACGAACCACACACCCAAGTGGAATTCAATTATCGTGTGTATCCACTGCTACACGCAGCCACGAAAGAAGGCAACATCGACAAGTTCATCGAAGCCCTTGAAAAGTATTCTGCCGAAGAAAGGGTCTCTTTGTCCGAGATTATCCATATACAGGGCCCTTCAAGGAACTCGTTGCTCCATGTCGCAGCAGGTATCGAGAACTCCGACATCCTCCAAGTGCTCCTCGAGGTCATCCAGGACAAGCAGCTTGCCGCCCAGGCGAACGACAGAGGGGACACCCCGCTTCACGTCGCGGCAAGAGCGGGTAGCATACGCATGGCCGAGCTCCTCCTCGACTGCGGCAGTTTTTTGGACAAAGCGAACGAGGCGGGGAACAAGGCGTTGCATGAGGCTGTGAAGAACGGTGACTACGTGTTGACCGATCTGCTCCTGCGTCGTCAAGGGTCAACATCGGTGATTGAGAAGAACGAGGAGAACAAGTGTCCACTGTACTTGGCAGTCGAGATGGGGGACTTGAAGATTCTCTTGCGTTTGCTGCAAGCGGTGGATGGGAATGAAGTTCCTTTGTCCGGGATTGAAGGCATGTCGCCGGTTCTCGGAGCCGTGATGCACCAAAAGTTAGGTCAGTAATTGTACTTATGGCTCTCGCTTGCGTAAATTTATTAGTCGGACCACTTACATGCGTGTCCACTTTGGATCCATACGAGCCGTTGAACCTGTAAGTCACGTTCATAAAGCAGCTGACCTCACATGTTTTGTTCTTCTCCTAGAATGGTTTAACCTTTTTCTAAAGTCTGCATCAATTATTGAAGATTTCCCATAATTTTTGGACTTGGGACCTGGCAGGAATTACCCCTTGAAGAATGTCATCATGCTAGCATTTCAGTAGTCGATACTCATAGTATAAGCCAATTTCCAAGGACCTTTTGTGAATCAGGGAGAGACTCCTGTCCTGAGCGTGAATGTTGGAGATGAATGTCTCTATGCTTTGAAGCATTCTCCAATGTTTATACTGAAATTATCCCCCAAAAGTTTAGATTTCAATTATGTATTCCATGTAATATCGCATTTTTGTTTCATCTTAAGAAAAATCTAATAATTAGAGGGCAAAGTTACCAAGCCCTTCGTCATGAGCGTGAATGTTGGAGATGAATGTCTCTATGCTTTGAAGTATTCTCCAATGTTTATACTGAAATTATCCCCCAAAAGTTTAGATTTCAATTATGAATTCATGTAATATCACATTTTTGTTTCATCTTACGAAAAAGATAATAATTACAGGGTAAAGTTACCAAACCCTTTGTCATGAGCATAACACAAAGTCATTCATTTCTTGCTCTCTAATGATATAGATATGCTGATAGAGATGTCAGAGCAGAAGAAAGAGCTATTTGATTTAAGAGATGCTGAAGGTGGTACTCCCCTCCATCTAGCAGCACACGAGAATTACGTCAATGGAGTCAATTTCTTGGTCAACAAGTTTCCTTGGAGCGCCTTTGAGCGTGACGAAGAGGGCTATCTTCCGATCCATGTCGCGTGTAAAATGGGTCATCTTGAAACAATCAAGGAGCTGCTTCGACGATGGGCAGATCCAGAAGAGTTGCTTACTTTAATGGAACTGCAAAATATACTTCATGTTGCCGCAAAGTACGGAAGGGCTTCCGTAGTGAAATGGATAATCGGCAATCCTGAGCTTGAGAAGCTTATAAATGCGAAAGACAAGGAAGGAAATACGCCTTTACATGTGGCCACATTGCAATGGCAACCCAAGGTTCTGCTCTCTCTCACCCGGGACGACAAAGTTGATCTTAAGCTTGTGAACAACGGCAACTTGACGGCTCTCGACATTGTAGATGAGCAACTGAAAGAAATCGATGCTCCACTTCGCAAGGTAATGATCTCTACAAAACGGATCAACAAGTTATCTACTTTGGTTTTTCACTGTTGTTTTCGCTACTTCTTTTCTGGGAGAGACGAAAGGAATTAAAGTTTATTTTGACCCGTTGAACTCCGCCAGGAAGTTACCAAGTGGATTTAAGTTTCTACGGTAAGCTCAGAAAATATTGCATTCACTTGACAAGGTCTCAAATTTTTTATTCCTAAATCTTTGATTGACAGTCCATCTTCATGGATAATAACGGTCTTTTTTTAACTATTACGCTTAACCAGAGCTTTACACGGACAATCTTAGTATCTGCTGGAACACCCAGAAGCAAAGACAAAGCAATTTGCCAGCCGAAAGGCTTAGGCCCGGCTACAGAGCCTCAAATTGTGGATAGAATAATGGACGAGGCCAAAACCCGTATGGTCATGGAAAAAGTAAAGGACGAGGCCAATACCCGTATGATCGTGGCAACACTCATAGCTGCTATGACATTCGCTGCTGGCTTTTCTGTTCCTGGAGGAGATAATGGTTCTGAACCAGATGCTGAAATCGCTCGGCTGTTGAACAGACCCATGTACGATATCTTCGTGATCTGCAACTCTGTCGCCATGTACAGCTCCATAATTGCAGTTGTGATCCTTCTTTGGACACAGATCAATGATCCGGGTGCGATGCTTCATGCCCTTGGGAAGACAAGGCTACCGCTGCTCATAGCTCTTGCCACAATGTCCTTGGCTTTCATGGCGGGAGTCTACTTGACCGTAAGCAAACACACTTGGATCGCGGTTGTCGCCTTGATCATTGGGATCACCGCCCTCTTCATTATCTTGGGTCTTTACATTGCGTTGTTCATCCCACTTGGGTACAATTGTCGTCTTGTCCAGCTCTTCGCCGACTTCATCATTAGAGCGGGTATATCAATTTCAATGACTGAAGGATGGGCAGACAATAACTCGGGGCAGCGTGAGTACCATCTCAAACACTCTGGGATAGTGCCAAGAATGGATATAATAAAGAGAAATGACGTTATAAAAACTGGTGACTCTGAGCAATTAAGTTTGGCAGAAAGCGAGGATTGAAAAACTTCTTAAGACGCGAATGAAAATATAAGTAGCTCCTTGCCAAAACTGGATGTGTTTCGCCTTGATAGGAATGTAATGTGACCCTATTGATTATTCTCGGCTTTGGTGTTGGATTTCACGTCCTTTGTCAGTAAACATTAATGTCATTTTCCGTAGATATTTTCCTTTTGTGAAAATAATTCTCTGGATATCACATGCTAGACTGCAAAAACATGAGTCTCGTGAATAGTATAAGGTGCAATAACAAATTACAATTCCATTTCAAATTTTCCTCTTTTTGAGAAGAGGAAAACATTTTCCCCATCTCCTTCTTTCACCATTCATTTTTTTTCTTTTTTTTTTCTTTTTTTTTCCTTCTTCTTCTTCCACAGCCGGTCGCCGGCCACGATGACGACCGGTGACTGTGACATCACCGATTTCGGGCCTAGGAAGCCGATGGCTAGTGATGAATGGATAAGCAAATGCTGATTTGCTGCAATTTTTGCTACAATGACTGGTTTAGTTCTCAAGTGGTAACAAGTTTACAAGTGATCATTTGCGTGCCTAAATTTAAAAAGTGATCATATAAATGCCAAAGTTTTTTAAAAGTGATCACTTGAGTATTGTTGTTGTTAAATAGTGAATGCTTGTGATGTTCAACCATTTAAAAAGTGATATGCTGTTTTTGGAAAAAGAACACTAGAAATGTTATTGCCCTGTTTTGTACAGGAAATGTTGATTTATTGCAATTTTTGCTACAGTGACTGGTTTAATTCTCGAGTGATAACAAGTTTACAAGTGATCATTTGCGTGCCTAATTTTAAAAAGTGATCATACAAATGCCAAAGTTTTTTAAAAGTGATCACTTGAATACTGTCGTTGTTAAATAGTGAATGCTTGTGGTTTTCAACCTTTTAAAAAGTGATATGTTGTTTTTGAGAAAAGAACACTAGAAGTGCCAAAAGCTGTGTACGGTGCTCACTTTAATGCCAAAATTTTTTTTCAGATCACTTAAGTGCCACTTTTAAAAAAAAAACGATCACTTAAGTGCTAACTCTGATTTGGGTCACCAGAAATCTGACGTTACCATATTTTATTAATTTCTAAGTCCTACGTGGCATCGCCCGCATTGACGATGAAAATTTTTAATAATAATTTAATAATTTTTTGACTTTTTAAATATTTTTTCTGATTTTTTTTCTTTTTTTCCTTCTTTTCTTTTTTTCTTTTCTTTCTTCTTCTTCTACCTTTGGCTGGTGATCGGACATAGGTCACCGGCCAAAGGTAGAAGAAGAGGAAAGAAAAGAAAAAAATAAAAAATATATTTAAAAAATCGAAATATATACATAGAAATGCCACATAGACTGATTTTTTTTTTAAAAAAACCCAACTCATATTAAAATTTTAATTATAAAAGCCAAGTATTAATTTGGTCGGAATTTCTCGCCGTTGGCACTTAAGTGATTGTTTTTTCTCCGATTTGGCATTTAAGTGATTCGACGAAAATTTTTGGCACTAAAGTGAGCGCCGTACACAACTTTTGGCACTTCTAATATTCTTTTTCCTATTGCTTTCACTTTGTGAAACACTTCCATTATCAGCATTCGAAGAAGCATGAGGCACATATTGCATACAAACTTTGAAACAAAAAAAAATCAACACTACACCAGTAAGGATTGATTTCAAATAGTTTAACGCAATCTTGTGCTTGCATCAGCTACACAAATAAGTGATGGTGCAAGCACAAGACTGCACCAAGTTGCTTGCACTAGAAGCACAAACAAGTGCTGGTGCATTCTTGTGCTTGCCCTAGCAGCACAAGACCTACAAAACTTATATTCAAATGATCATTCCAGATTTAAAGTCTATAAACAGCCCATAACCATATTATCTTATCCATTTGCTGAGAGCCTCTCTTATTTATTATGGTGTCTCACTTTCAAAAACATATCTAGATGGTCTTCTTCTAACCTAACAACCCATAACCATATTGTCTTATCCTTTTGCTGAGAGCCTCTCTTATTTGTTGTGGTGCCTCACTTTCAAAAACATATCCAAATGGTCTTCTTCTAACTAAGAAAGACATAGCAAGTTTAAATTTTGCCAACGTATGGACATATAACACCACTAACACAAATTGTACAACTTACTCAAGATTTTCTCCTCGTTTGTGCACCTAGCGCAGCACTTGGCCCTACAGCTAGCCCTATATTAGACCCTTCAGCTTGCCCTGCATCAAGCCCTGGAGTTGTTGCAGTTGCACCTTCAGCTGGTATTGGAGATGAACTTGCCCTGATTATTGCATTTTGTGATATGTTGTTGCTGTTACTTCTACAATTGACAACTAGCTTTATTGTGCCCTTCCTTATACTAATACGAGCACTTAATTTTTCCACCAGTCCTGCTCATTCTATTACTTGTCATCTCAAACTACTGCATTCTCCTTTTCCTTTTTGGCCTGCTTACTTGCTTCTTTAGTGGCAAAGGGTGAGGGATATCATGATTTGTTGGGTCTCAGAATTTGCGATTTCTAACGGGAAGCAAAATATGTGCTTCTTTTGTACCAATCTTCCAGGTAATCGTTAGGATTTTGTTGTCAGGCTCAACATGAATACTTTCTCCTCTCCAGGGACAACATACTTATCAACATTATTCATGATCTCATATCTATCATCCCCATTCTAAATTGGATGAAAGAACCTACTAGCAACTAAATTGTCATCCAATCCTTTGGCGATCTTACGATCACACTATCTAGTCCACTTTCTGGTCTTTTCTCTCTGTCTTTGCAATCTAGTCATGACTATCACTCTTATATCTTCAAGCATGCCGATGATTGGTTTGCACCTGACTTCTATGATTCTGTCATTAAATGCTTCATTAAAGTTGTTGTCAATAATATCATGCGTGAATTCTTCAGTGTATAAGGCTCCACACCAATGCTTTGGTTCAGTCTGGAATAGTGCTTTAAAACCTTTCCTTATCAACTCAAACAACCATCATTTGTGAATTCTGAAATAAGGCATGTTGGTGCTCATTGCTATGAGCCAAAATTGCTTATGCAGTTTATCCCCTTTATACTTCTTTGCTCAATTTGCATATATGTGCTTCGCACACATTCTATGTTCAGTATATTGCATCAACTCAATTAATGCAGGAACAAGTCTCTGCAATAATTCAAACCAATAAATATTTCCAAGCTATAATATGTAATTAATATTAAAAAGCCAACAGTTGACAATGGCATTACCTTTTGTTGGTCGCTCATGAATGCCCAACCTAACCCATTAGTTATCTCAAGGTCAGTCATTATATTTTTGAGGAACTAGAATCAAGTGTCATTGTTCTCTACCTTCACATCAGCCTAAGCTATTGGAAATATTTGGTTAATAACTCTCATTTGCATAAACCATTTAATAAACATCCATCCAACTCTATCAATCTTCTATAGCTAACCAAAAATCCCCTTTTGCATGCATCAAAGCAAACATACATCTTATCAAACTTAGTTTCACAATCAGGCGGTGGCTTCTCTACAACCTCTATATATACTTTACTGGATGGGTTTTGAAGCCTACATTCCCCAGCATAATCCCGAATCTTGCATATTCTTCCTTGTACCTACTCATTAGTGTACTCATCACCTTGTATTTAGCTCTTTTGCATTGATTTCTATACATAATAACCCATACATGCTCCTTCACTAATTGTTTCAACTAAGGACTTTTGATCTCAAGTATGACCTTAATAGTGTTGAGAAAGTGCTTGGCTAACCATATATTAGCTACCCTTTTGTTATCAAATACAATGACACGAGTATGTTTCTCCTAGAAGGATCTTATTTGAAATGAGCCGCTTTTCCTACTCAGTGCATCATATGTCTTCTATGAAAAATTTTGTTGTAAATAATCTCACAAATTTCTTGGTATTTCTAATGAATTCACACTCATTTATTAAGCAATTGAGTACTTGACAATAACTTCCTTTAATTGTTTTGCATTATCAAATTTCATGGATACGCACAACACATACATGCAATAGTCGAATCATTAGAAGGATACTTATTTTTTCTTCTCTGCACAGCTACTTCTTCTTCATTCTCATTCTCATTGTCTGAACTATCACTCTCATCACCATCGTCATTTTCTTCATATTCAATTTCATTACCATAAGCAATTAGAGCTCCTCGGTCCCTCTTTACTGGTTAAGATTTATGCGATTCCCCAAGTGCTACAAATTTATTTTTCTGAAGTTCCCTCTAGTTTTGCCTTTACTGTGCAAGTTCATCGTCACTTGGGCAATTTGCATTTGGCAAAGCTTCATCATCTAATTCACTTGATGGAGTAACTTTCCAATCCAACCCAATCAATTCTTCATTACCTATGTCTTCACCAAAGACTTTGGGACATATCCCCGTTTATTGAACTCTCTCTAACACACGAGTTGTATGCATTGCCTCCGTCTCTTATTCTACTTCATCTAAAATATATCCATCCCCAGCCCGAGTACTCAGTTCAATACCATCTCCTACTTCTCTTACTTGAGCGCTCTCATCATCTTCATCATCTCCGTAATACCCAATATATACTTAAGCTTCCTCACCATGAAGATAATAGTAAAAAATGTCCATAATACCATTATCATCATGGAAGTATCTCAAATCATCCTTCAAGCTTTTACTAGGAACTCTATAATGCAATTCTTTAATTTTGCATCATAACTGTTGCACTATATCCCCCACAAAATCAATATATGATAGCCTACTTACATTAACAAGGATAGTACCGATATTTCCACTAACATATTCCTACTCATCATTGCCAATAACAAATTCCCCACCAAGTGTCACCCATGCCGATGTTGCACCCGAGATATAAAAAAAAAAATTTAGGTTTTCTGACCGTAAAGCATAAAGGACGACAACTTCACATGAGGTCTGTACAATCTCACCAAATTGAATAATTAATGATTCAGCGGTTTTCGCTTAGTGGATAGAAAACAACAACACATCTCACCAAACACAATAAATCACTCACCTTTACCTCTTGCGAGATTCCTCCTCTAGCATCGAGCCCCAATTTTTTCCCTCTAAGAACTGAGTCCTAATTTTTCCCTCCAACCACAAAACCCTAGTTTTTTTCCCACACCAATTGAGGAAGTGAGAGAGGATGACGATGTTCGAGTGAGTGACTGTGTGAGAGCGAGAGAGACAGCGAGCGAGCGATGGCGACCAGTGACTTTGATTCGTCAACAATAGTGAGAGGGAGAGAGAATAAAACGCAAGTGTTGAACAAACGAAACAAATTTGTCTATATTGAGAGAAGGTCCGTGCAATGTCATTTAGGCAAGCCAGCCACCTTGGAAGTCCACATTGGACTCGTTTTTAATATAAAAAACTATTTCAAATTAAACATTTTATTATAAAAGCCCTGTGATATTTTTGGCCGAAGGCACTAAGCGATTGTTTTTTTTTCTTTAGATTTGACACTTAAGTGATTTGGCGAAAAGCTTTGGCACTAAAGTGAACGCCGTACGAAAGTTATGACACTTGTAGTGCCTTTTTTCCCATTTACATAGATTGCCATTTGTCGGAAGAGGCTCTCTTTTGTTATTCTTTACTAAAAAAGTTTCTAAGTTATAAAGGCTTCGGAGTTCTTTTTTTTTTGGCCAAGAGGCTTGGGAGCTAAAAAATCCGAAATTTATCGAGCAAGAACAAAAAAAAGACAAAAAACTTTCCCCAAATGAATAAGCACATCAATAGGCTGTCGGATCTAAGCCCAATGCTTAATCACTCAGCCTTAGAATTCCTTTCCCTTTTTATGTCAAAGTGTGGTGGATGGTCCAAATTTAGTTTTAATCAAATGAAGTTCTGCTTTTTCATTAGAAATACAAACGAGACGGGTTTGGAACGCTAGCTTGGCGTCATCTTGAACTCGTCTCTTTAACTTCCAAACCCATTCCTTTCAGGCTTGTAATTGCATATCTCCAATTAGAATCTCTACAGAGCCACGATCCAAGAAACTGCAGAATCTTGAGATTAAACAGTTTGTGAAAATCTAAGAATTGACTGCAATCCCAAAGAAAATTGGTGGTTGTCGCAAAAAAATAAATATTAATTATAATTACTTTTAGATTTTAGAATTTTTTAATAAATTGAACGAGCGACTTTCCATCCTTTTAAAGCAGTTTTATAAGTGGCCTATCGGATTTGAGTTTCGAGTTATCCATCGGATGAATTCCCAAGCAATGCCGAAACCTCATGACTTTTTCAAATGTGATTTCAAGCATGCCAATTAGCCTATGTTGTCTCTCCTGCTCGGCCAACTCAATCAATATCGGTGCTGTTTTCTGTTTTTTTCTTTGGGGGTTGGCAAAAGCACTTTCATTCATAAAACTTCAATAGGACAGCATAGATTTCTAGTCCTAGAACGTAAAATTTCCAATAAAGGACTGGGTAGTGTGTTTTTGCCCTGGGCTTTTTGCTAGCCAATCTCCTACTTGATTTGTCTCTCGCGAGTTGAATATCACTTGAATGTTCGTGGACCGAAAGAGTCTCTCTCGACAGTCTTTTATAACAGGTCACGCAGCCTACGGGCTTGGATCGGAGCTCGTGATCGGGAGAGAAATCGATACACTATCAGTCTCGATGGTTAGGCGCAGATAAGAGTTCAAGCACAGATCCTCTCTCGCCTGCAGAAACACCAAGGCATCTCGCACTGCCAGGGCTTTAGCTTCAAGCGGTGATGAGGCGTGAACAAGATGTGCAAAGATTACTCGGCCACAGGAGTCGCGGCGTACACCCGCCACTGCGCCCTCTCTTTCCCCTTCCAATAATGGTCCGGGACCATTGGTCCCTATCTCCGGCGGGCACCACTTAAAAGGCAAAGTTTGCTGCTCTGAAGAGAGCGAGAAATTGGCGCTACTTTCAAGGGTCCCTATTGTACAGATACCTCGACGATTCCCACTCGTTCGCATCTCGAAGCTTAGGAGCCAGTGTATGATTGGTTTATGAAGGTTGGGACGGAAAGGGACGAGAACCCGATCAAACCTTTCTTGCTTCCATCCCTGCTTTCGATGTGAATTACTCGAGCTGGTAGGACGCGGGACACTTCCACTGGGTGTGTGCAAAAGAGACGGAAACCGCCTGGGACCACCCAAAACCAGACCGGAACCGGTGATTCCTAAGGGAACCAAACCGGTTCTTGGTTCTAGATGTGGAACCGCCCGCCCACCCGCTCACATAGACCGGACCGGTAATATAATAATAAATATATAATATAATATATTTATTTAATTTTTATTTAAAAAAATCCTAGATCCCTAAATTAAACCTAACTCGTTCGACGCCCATAACCTCACATTGAGTCAAGAAACACTTTCTTTCGCTTTTGCCTCACGCTCACTCTCACTCTCTCACTCTTCTCGGTTGATGCTCACCTCACCGTTTCCGACTCTCCACCTTCGTCTTCATCTCCATCTTTCCGTCTCCGTCCTCGGCTAGTGGGACTGGTTCCATGGACCCACCCGAGAACCGGACCGGACAGGCGGTCCAGTTCCCAGATGGATCCATGGAATCAACGGGCGGTTCCCTATTTCAATTTTTAGAAACCGATCCTTAGTGGGCAGTTCCTGGTTCTAGGGTGGAATCGTCCACCCGGACTATACTCACCCTTAACTCCCACTGCTTTGGGGGTAAGTCGTGCATGGACCTGGATCCATGGATCCCAACATAACGTGGTTATTGTTGGATTCATATGACGAATCGCCGCGATGGATCCGGGTCCAGGCAAGAATTTTGCTCGTCGCTTCTCTCTAGAGTCAGGGGAATTGGTCTACGACGCCCGCCAGTCAAGCTTAACCCAACAGTACTCAAGGCCCAAGCCCGATCCAAACATGGGCTGAATTGTGACCGTGGGCATACTTCTACAAACATCTACTGGCGCGGAGAGAGAGAGAGAGAGGGAGGGAGGGAGGGAGGGGAGGGGAGGGAGATGGAGGAAGAAGACGTGCGAAGAGAAGCGGCGATAGCGTCAAGTCCCTCTCTACGACCAAATTTCAAGTCCCCTGGGGTCACCAAGGACCAGCTCTCCAAGTTCCAAGTATGCCCATGATCCCTTTTTCTCAATCGATACCAATCGGTCGAGTCGCGTTCGTTCTCATTCATACCTGTTTCTGGGTTCTGGGTAATCGTCTCAGAATTGATGTTCTCATTAAGGAAAGGAGTTTGTATCTATCTGGGTTGTATGGATTGCTTGTTCTCGTTCATGTTTTCGTTCTTGATCGATTATTTTTTCGCACCTTAGGCTTGTATAGACTGGGAAATTGTTTCACGCCATTGTCTAATATCTATGCGTTTGGCTGAAGTTCCTAACTTGCCTGAATGACATGACTTCACCTTCAGACTCTGCTATCTGATCCTTCAAACGTGTATGTCAAGGAAAGTGCCTGCTTGGTTTACATTGCGAGCCCGTTTGTTAATGGCTTCTCTGTTTTAGACAAAGGTTAGTTAAGGGTGGCGTAAGAGCTGATGTTCACGGTCTCCATTCGTGAGCCAGTTTCTTGCTGACGAACATGTATGATGTCCATCCTGAGATTGTCTCTTCATGGCATAGTTTGTTTGGGACAAACAGTCGGCATAACGAGCTGATTGTTCCAACAAGTCTGAATTAACTTCTGTGGATATCCATTGGATGCTGGCCGAAAGTCTAGCAGCACTGCGAACTGACCATGTGTTTTCGTTTGCTATTTAACTGTTTACTGTTTTAAAAGCATAAGATGGAAAAATCTTTATAATTAATGAATTAGAAATGGTTTTTGTGTCTTGAGTCGCTAACTTGTAAAAGAGGCTGCAGACCTTGTTGGCTATCAAATTACGTCTGTTAGTGGCCTTAAATTTACTATATCAGGCAAGAATCAGGAAAGACAACTTTAGGATATGGGTGCCTTTATGTCGCACTGATCAGTCAATCACACAGTAATATTTCTGAGATTTGGCTCTTATGGTCTTATAGTTCATTAGTAGTTCTTGAGATACGATTGGCCTTCCTTTCTTTGGTGTATTAGTTCGTATTATGGTCTGATTGATGTGGCTTTGTTAAGCACCTAAAATCACTCCGCCTCTGGAATTCATGTTCTGACGATAAATGGCTGACAAAGGAAGTTCTGATATATGATGTAATTAACTTCGCATTAATTTACTAGAGAGGAATGTGAGAAGACTGATAACTGTGATGAAGGTCCAGCTGTGTCAATTAAAACAAGTATCTCATTGATAGGAGATCTTCTGGTGTCTTTCAAATCGTTTCATTTAAATCTCTTTCCTCCGTAAGTTTTTTAGTCCAACTCTTTTATTGAGGTCATGCGCGTACTACCTATGTCAATATCAATGGATACGACACGGGTCTGTTGTGCGCTTTGTGCTGTTCATTAGAAGAAAACTGAAACAACTTGGTCCTTATCAAAACTCCCCTAATAAGTAGTAAGGGATGATTTTTGGGGTTGAGCCTTCAATCATACATTGGTTTACAACTCTCTTACATCTGAATTAAGATGTTTATACCTACTACAGGCCATGTCTATTTCCTTTACTTCTCAATAGTTCACATGTTGCTTCATCAAATTGGGTGCTCTGTACATGCCTCCACGCCTGGAGGCTCAATGTTCTAATGCTAATTATTATGAAGTAGCCCCAATTGTGTCAGTAAATTTTCCAAGTATTCAAGTGATGGCATTTGACTGAACTTTATTTATATGTCACTTCCGTCATGTGGGAATTAGGACGTGACAAAATCTATTAAACATATGAAGCTAAACCTGAAAGATAAAGATAACAGTTAAAGTCACCACGGATACTACTTAGTTATGATATTCTTTTTGGTTCCATGTTCTAGCCTACCAGTTTGTATATTCTTGTCCGAATCCAGTGCCCTACATTTAGAGATATAGATAACTCAAGACCAATGTGACATAAGCATTCCGTGCCACCATACCCATGTCCAAGTCTAGTAACATAGCATTGTAATCTTTTGCTTCTCTCTTTCTTCTGCTAAACTTAATAGATGATTTTTCCCTAGTATCATTCCCTTTATAAATTCACCAGTTACCTTTCCATATTATTTGGCCAAAGAAAAGGCACCTTATTCTCTTTTCAACTGGCAGGAGCTGCATAAGAAGCGCATGCAAATAAAGAAAAAGTCAGAGCAAAAGAGATGGAAAGGTCTCCTTTGCGGCTTTAGTGACTTTAATCCATATTGCAGAGCTTATTATTTACCTAACATTTGTGGTATCGCAGATGAGATCCGGAAATTCCAGAAAAAGCCAAATAGCAAAAATAGGATTGACGAAGATACATCCATTGAAGATTCCAGTCTGTCCAACTCTAGTCTCAATAGCAAAGAAGATTCTTCAGTAGAGCAGCAAGATATGCAACAGCAGATTACATTGATGAAACCGCAGAAGTTACATTGGGGGTACTACCCACTTTCTTGCATATTATTCGATGAATTAACGCTGCTTTGATACTGAAATTCGGGAAATTGAGTTATTTTTGTCGGCGAAAAGAGCAGTTGGTTATGCTCAGCTGATTTGGAAATGAAATTACTATCCTGTGAAACGAGTACTTGCAATTATCCTGACATTACATGTAGCTTCTCTTTTCGATTTTTCTGTTAATGCGTCATTTTAAAACACATGCGCGTCACGAATTTATGGCCTTAATAATTTTTTAGATCTTGCCTCTGCAATGTGATCTATATAGTAAATGTACATTTACCATGTTTGCCGAATACCCATGTTATTAAGGCGTTCTTTGTTTCCAAGAGTTGATCTTAGCTTTTCTGCTCTTGATAGGCTTGACGTGAAGGAGAGATGGGAAAGGAAATCCAACATGTAGAGTTATTCTTCAGGCAGAATGCAGATGGAAGCGAGCATCTGCCAAAGCATTAAAGTCGGTCGCATGGTCGATCGAGCGCAAGGCCATTCAAAATCAGTCGAGTCACCCTTCTTTACATGTCGTGAGGACATCGGGATCACCAACTGACTGCCGTGAGATCTCTCTCGCGAGTGTCCAAGTACTTGTTTGCGCTGAGCTTGAGAAAGTTTAGTCCGAGTATTTCTCGAGCAATTCTCCGATCCGGCACTTGAAAAGGATAGCTATTTACAAACTGTACATTGCTGGCATTTAATTGTTGTCACCGTTCTAAGTTTGCTAATGTCTATTTCTTACCAAAATTTGACTTGTAATGTGACTCATATTCTCATAGGAAAATGGATGAAATGGAAGAAGGCACGGAATTTCTGTTTTCTCTTTCAATCGCCAATGCTATTTTGTTGCTCGATTTTTGCATATTTAAAATATAATTTTTATGTAAAATAGTTCATTGTAATTTTCTGTTTGATGGATATTCAAAGTCTGAGTTTACTTTCGCTGTTTCATAACCAACATGACTAATAATTGAAATACCAACGATCTTTTAGCAAATGATGCACATAATATCAAAATTAATATAAAATTTTATTGGTTAATTATTTAAAAAATTGGAAATCCAAAATAATAAGTAAATTGCTCCATAATAAATCAATCATACTCAATATATCAAATACAAGTTAAATTATTATAAAACCAGCATTAATTTATGAATAAGAAGGCTTTAGGAGAAGATGGTAGCTTGCCCTGTAGAATTTGCTTTGCACGTTGGTTGACATGCTCAAATGGTTTTAAATGGGATTGCACTTGCCCAGTTTGGCAATATTGAAGAAAAGTTAGGGACATAATGGTCCATGTGAAAATGCAATTAAGCTCATCGAATTATCGAGCCTGTTTAATCGTTTTTTGTAATGGGGAAAGTCTTTGGAAATATATAAAGGACTTTAGGTTAAAAGGATTTTTCGAAATGCAAATAGTATTTGGTAAATTATAATTTAAAAGTATATAAACAACTTTGATTTAAATGGTGTTTGGAAAAATGACACTTTGTAAAGCACTTTTGCTATTTTTTTTCGCTAATGATTATTTGTTTTTTTAGCCAAAAAAAATAAGCAAAAGTGCTAATGATTTTCCAAGTGATAGTCGCCTAAGTCGCGTGACCTGAGGCAAGGTTGGACGGTGCCGGTCCGGCTTGCCGACAACTAGATCTATCTTCACTGTCTCCTCGCCGACTGGTCTCGCACAACTCTCAAACGAGCTATCTATGTAGAGAAGATGACCAATTCTTACAAGGGCAAATTTGAAAAACGAAAGTATTGGTAAGGGTAGTTGTGGAAGAAAAAAAATTATTTAACCTTAGGAAATGGCCTTTCAAAAATACTGAAAGCCCGTGAGAGCATGCTTTGGGCTTTCAGCTTTGCCAAGGCAAACATTTGGCCGAAAGGATCCCATACAAAGAATTTGCCAAGTACCCCAAGTTTTTCCCAAGGGTTTTAGAAGACCAAATCCCGGGGAAAAGTGCCAAAAAAGTCCTAAACCTTTTGCATTGGTGCCAATTTAATCATAAACCTTTTTTTTGTGCTAATTCAGTCATAAATCTTTTGCATTGGTGCTAATTTAGTCCTAAACCTTTTTTTGGTGCCAATAGAGTCCTAAATCTTTTGCATTGGTGCCAATTCTGTCCTAAACCTTTTGTCTTTGTGCCAATTCAGTCCTTCCGGTCAATTTTGGCCGGATTTTGCTGACGTAGACGCCGACCGGAAGGCGGCCAGTCACCGGCGCTGACGTGGACAACTTTAATAATATTTTAATATTTTTTTGAATTTTTTTTCTTTTTTTTCTTTTCTTTTCTTTTTTTCTCTCCCCTCCCTCCAGCCGGTTGTCGGCGCCGGCCACTGGCGAGGCTCGCCCTCACTGGCCACTGGCAAGGGCGGCCTCGCCATGGCTGGGCGAGGATCCGGCGAGGTCGAGCCTCGCCGGCGGCTGGGCGAGGCACGACCTCGCCGGATCTGGCGAGGTCGGGCCTCGCCCAGCGCAAGGCCGCCCTCGTCAGTGGCTAGCGTGGGCAAGCCTTGCCGGCGCCGGCCTCTGGCCACCGGCCGGTCGCCGGTTCGGCCACCGGCTAGAGGGAGGGGAGAGAAAAGAAAAAAATTAATAAAAATTCAAAAAATATATTAAAATATTATTAAAGTTGTCCACGTCAGCGCCGGTGACCGGCCGCCCGCCGATCGGCGTCCACGTCAGCAAAATCCGACCAAAATTGACCAGAAAAACTGAATTGGCACAAAGATAAAAGGTTTAGGACTGAATCGGCACCAATGCAAAAGGTTTAGGACTTAATTGGCATCAAAAAAAGGTTTATGACTAAATTGACACTAATGCAAAAGGTTTAGGACTGAATTGGCACCAAAAAAAAGTTTAGGACTAAATTGGCATCAATGCAAAAGGTTTAAGACTTTTTTGGTACTTTTCTCCCAAAACCCGTTAGGAAAACTAAACCAAACGCGGTGAAAGTAAGCCCGGCCTACTTATGGTTTTTTTAACATTAAACTATTAATATTCCATTGTTTAGAAGTGTAGTTAATTTGTGGTAGATGAATTTAATCAATTAAGTTGTTGCATAAATCGATTTAGTGGCCAAGATGCACAAATTAATTTTAATTTTCCTGATAAAAAAATTTACCTAAATCATTTTTCTTTACATTATCCCTGCATTACGTGAAAAAGACAAGGATGTCTCAGTGCTCAAATCTCTGTCCCTTAGCAGTGGCAGCGCAACCAAAACTACTCAAGAAGAGGCTCGAGCACCTTCAATCCAATCCTCAAACCGTCGTCACCGGCTCGCCTGTGCGTCGTCGAGTCTCCTCTTTCAGCGAAAGGTCTGTTTTTTTCCCTTTTCGTTTTGCAGTCTTCTCTTCTAAGCACGTTTCTCTGCGTTCCTTCAATGGCCTACGTGACTTGGAATGCAGATTTTCGACTTGAATTGGACAGGGGAAAGTGACCCAGTATGTTAAAACGAGGGGGTTCTCGTTTACCTTCGAACTGTTTATCGAAGGTTTCGGTCTTGCTCAGCCTAGTTACTTTTGTGGTCGATGAGAATTGTGGGATTAGTAGCAAAATGTTGTTGGGTTCTTGCTTAATCATATTGGGGAATGATGACTGAGCTCTAGGGGCGAAAAAATTCTGAATTTTGGGCGGCTGAGAATGGTTTTGTTTTAAATTTTTCCAACACACGATCTTAATCAAGTAATTGGGTGCTGTTCTCTGAATATAGGTCGATGGTGTATGCATTGTCTGCCTCCAGTACGAGCATTTGCTTTCGAAAGGAGCCTCGCTCTGGTCGCTTTCGGAGAAAACATTTTGTTTCCATAAGGGCCTGCGCATCTGCTTTGTCGCCGGATAATATCAATGGGTTGAAAGTCGAGTATACGCCTTGGCTCGTAGCTGGTTTGGGGAATCCGGGGAATAAGTACTATGGTACTAGGCACAATGTACGAGTTGACATCAGATTCTCCTCGAGTTTTAATGTCGTTATATCCATTCTACTTGGTTATTTACATGCAAGGTTCTCGCTTAGGTCGGTTTTGAAATGATCGATCGGATATCTGAAGAGGAGGGTGTCGCAATGAACATTATTCAGTCAAAATGTTTGATTGGCATAGGTACTCTTCGACTGTGTTAACGCACTGTTTTTTCCTAGCTTCTTGTTTCATTATTTGAAATGGAATTAGGGCTTATTTCAGTTTTTGTGTCCAGTGATAGTTGATCTTCTTGCGTGATAAATGCAGGTTCCATTGGAGAGGTACCAGTTCTGTTAGCGAAGCCTCAGACTTACATGAACTTCTGTGGAGAATCAGTTAGTTTTCCCATTCTGTTCTTTCAATCACTGAAGTGGCTGTTCTGTTGGATCGATATATAATCACGTGAACAATTTTATGAACATTTGAATGAAGAAGCCAAGGTTTTAATAGAGAAGAGTCATTATCTCCATGTGAGACTTGTTGAATTTTGATCAAAAGGCTGCTGAAGTTTTCTTTTCATAATTGTAGGATGATGAGCCAGAAACTTTAAGTAATGAGATTGCTCATGGCCTTTGAATTATAGTTACGAAACTTCATGTATATGGATCTCCTCTTTTGTCTGACCTTTTTATCTTGTTGGGAGATTTATTCCTGTGGTACCAATAGTTAGGTCATAAGAAATGACCTAGAGATGTACTGAGTTAACCATTGCTGCTTATCTGCAAGTTAGTTACTAATTTCAATGTTAAGGAAAAGATGTCCTTGTGCTATAACCATATCTACATCTGGTTCTCGTCTCTAAATCTCGTTTTGAGGTCAGTGCGCCTCATATTGAAGAATTTCTAACAGAGAAATGTCGCTTCTTTTTGGTTCGGAGAGAAATGCCAGTTAAGTGCCTGGGAATTTGAAGTTTGTGTGAACAGGATGTGGTCAGTTTGGCAGTGTCTCCTAGAAGCACTGGTTTTTGTTTCTTTGAGTGAATGAGGCAAACTAGTAGTGCAATTTGTCAGCAGTGTGAAAAAGTATTACGGGTTGAGGGGTTTTTGTTTATCGAAATTTCTCTACCCATAGACCACTGTGTAACATCTTAAGCTGAAAATCACGTAAAAAGCCCAGGAGTATTGAGTGTTTAAGAGTAGATTTCTTCTTATTAATAGTTGAAAATCTTTTTACCACTTCACGTAAGACTTGCGATATTACAGATCATCCACTTTCTCATCCTCAATGCACTTGTTGAAACATATGACCTCTGTATGCTGGAGATCATGGACTCACCAGTCACCCCAATAGCCAGCAAAGTCCTCAGTCATCACCTTGTTAGACCGAAAGTTGTCCTGGTTATGCTACATGGGCTCGGGATGCTCTGTAGCCTACAATCCGAGAGCTTGTGGCTTGATATCATTTAACCATTGTAGATAAAAATGACATACATTAAGCTTCAAAAAGAGTACTCGAGTGTTCATTACCTTTCATATGATTGTTCGTAGTTACTTGTCTTTGGATCAGTAAACTTTCTCCCCTTTTTTATCATCTTTCATTTTCTTCTGGAATTTTCTTTCGGAAGGGAACAGAAACACGGGAGGGGGAAAGTGGGTGCCACATGATTTCTTCTCTTTCTTTCCACCTGGTTTCTTTCCCCTAATTCAAGTCACTGTTGATTGTGTACTCTTCCCTGGTGGCGATTGATGTTTGCAACTTTTTTTCTAGATACATGCTTAGTGTTTCTATTTCTAACTCTTTTCTCCTTTATCATTGTTAATCCGGAAGGTTGGGGCACTGGCGGCATATTATCAAGTTCCCTTGCGTCATATCTTACTGGTATGTACATGTATATGCCTACTCTTATGCAGGTCTGGAAGAACTAAGGTGCATCTTTTCCATGTTTTCTTGTGAAGGTATATGATGAGATGAGCTTGCCGAATGGTGTCTTAAGGCTACAACCAAAAGCAGGGCATGGCTATCATAGCGGGTATACAGTCTGCATACCCTGATATTCAAAATGCACTACAGTCTTGATATTTCCCCAGCCTGCATTTTCAGAGTTCCGTCAAGCTGCTCAACTTTTTGATTCTCTCATCTTGCAGAGTAAAAAGTGTGACGGCCCACTTGGATGGCCGCCGCGAATTTCCTAGGTTGTGCATAGGTTGGTTTAGTGCACCGTGTTTAGATCCATCTCTCGATTCTTCTCTTCAGTCTTCTTTTGTTTATCATACAGTGCCATTTCATGTCGGGTGTTTGCAGGCATCGGAAATCCACCTGGCGCCATGGACATGAAAGCTTTTCTTTTGCAGAAATTCAGTTCCCTCGAGCGACAACAGGTACGCTACTTCTTTCTGACGGCCAGTGTGCTCGGATAGGAGAACTTCTATTCCTGAGGCGAGGTTGGGCAATCGCTAGCGGTTTCGTGACTGTCATTGGTTATCTACACAGATCGGTGTAGCACTTGAGCAGGGAGTCGAGGCTGTGCGGAACCTGGTGCTTAATGGGTTTGATCAAAGCATTGAAAGATTTAACTTAGGACAGAAATACAAGTTCCACAAGGTTTAAATGGTTGTATGCGACTTATTTTTGACCCCTTAGTTGATTACTTACTTATGTGTCAATTACTTAGGATGGATCTAAAATGGAAATTCAGAGGGTCTTCATCCTTCATTTTATCCCATCCGAGCGAAATGCGCTAATGACCAAGCGTAATCAAAGAGGGTCCAAAGAGCTCTCTCGATTGATACGGCTCAACCTACTCGAACACGCTGTTTTCCGAGTGGTCCTCAGAGAAGGCGATTGGTATCTCGCTCACGGCAGCTGTGGGAACAAACCCTGAATCTTTCGTCGTCTCGATCGCCTGATAATGAATGAAGACAGGCGGTCTCCATCCTTTCCTCATGAGAGTCCATTTCCGATCTCTGAACTAAGCCTCCCTCTTTTTTCTTTTGCATGTTCTTTTGGTACCGCAACGCTAGAGAGATGAGCCGGGGCATGACCGATAAGCATACAAATCGGCACTTGTGACCAAAGTAACATCCTTCGCGATTCTGTCCAATTCCAACCATTAGTCGTCCACGTGTCAGCCCACGTGGCGGTCACTGCGCTGATGTGCACTGTAACTGGCGTATCTTCTCTCTGAAAACGACGCCGTTTCATTATCGGATTAATCGATAGATTTCTTCGAGCTCAATGAAATATGGCCAGAATGAAAGGTCGAATCCTCCGATTAGTCATCGCGCCAAAATTTCTCCGTGATAAAACCATGTAATGCCGAGTCCAAACTCTTGATTTGATTCGAGCGAAAGCTAACTTGTTCGAACCCTAAATCACACCATCAGCGACCCGATTTCTATCCCCTCCCCCAAAAGGTTCCATCAATGCCATCTCATTGTCTGTGGGAGAGGTTTCGAAACCCTGAACTCCCCAATCTAGATCCCCCCAAGATGAGTTCGATTGATTTCCATGAAAGAAAACATTTTAAAGAAACAGATGGCAGATGAGCTCTGTTCATTTCGTTCGAAATTTCCCTATGCTTAGGCTTGAGGTGATAAAGAAACGCCCGCCCCTGTGTGTTGACACGTGGACAACGAACGGCAGAAATTGGATAGGATCATGACGGATGCTTATTTTTGTCGAATGGGCCAAAATTTATGACTTTATCTTGTAATTTTGAAAGGCCGTGCCTCTTTCTTTCTTTTCTTTTTTTGGGGTCACGCGAACCAAAGTTCGTGGCTTTTTTTCATGGTATTTGGCCGTAATTTGGAATTGGCACTAATTCTGAGTACCGTGCGAAACTACATTTCGAAAATTTTCTGAATCTCTGTATCGAACACACTTGACCATCATGCCATGCCATGCCATATGTAAAGGAACAAATTTCAGTCGGCTTCTCATCCCTCAAAACCACAAAAAAAAAGGACCCCACTTCTCAGATTTTTCTCCTTAGCTCTTTTTATTTATTTATTTTATAAATTAAGCATATATTTTCTCCTGAGCCAGTGATTATTGTACACGGGGGGTACAGTAACAACACAGTCTGTACATCATAAGAGGGAAACCACCTCGAACTTTCCACATAACATTCAACCGGGTCAACCCCATGACACGTAGGACAAAAGAAAAGGACTTCACAGACACGTGGGCCCACAAAAAAAAAAAGACAAAACAGAGCATGACAAGTAGGACAAAGAGTTCAACCCAAAACTAGTTCATGCGTAGGCAAATATACCATAATTTAAATTTTTTACCATAAAAAATCTTAAACTGGTAAAATTTATCTTCCGTTAGTTTCAGTTGAATTTGATTAATACCACGAAAAATCATAAATCGGTACACCCATAATAAAAGAAGGGTAAAATCTCATATTGGTATACCTATCAACTATCACGTGTCATCCAACTGAGCATTTTGACAAATAAAATTTTATGGAAACTAAACGGATGATAAATTTATCGCGGAAATATCAATTTGGGGTTCTTTGTGGTTAAAAAATTGGTCTGTGATTAATTCATCGCAATTGTATCAATTTATCGTATCAATACGAGATATTTTGTGGTATTAACCCAACCCAGAAAAGGGAGAAAACTCTCGTCACCACGGACAGACACCATCATGGGAACGAACCCCCCACCGAGATCGGACGGTTGGTAGACGATCCGATGATATCCGGGGCCCCTCCGATGATCCGATCCGACCGAGGGGGGCCCCCAGTTCGGAAATACGAACGTTGGGAGGGGGGGTTTGGAAAACAGGAAAGAAGAAAAGGAGAAGAGTCGGTAAAAAAAAAAAAGCAGACGACTTTCCCTCTTCCCCCCTCTCTCTCTCTCTCTACCACCATCAATTAGACCGTTGCTTCGCTTCCTCCTCCTCCTCCTCCTCGCGATCATCATCACCTCCTCCTCTTCTTCTTCTTCTACAGCAGCAGCAGCAGAAGCAGAAGCAAACCCAAAGAACCCAACCTACAAAACCCTCCCCGTCTTCCTTCATCGATCACGAAAACAGCGCAGCCCAAGGGAGAAGAAGGAACAGAGAGCAAAAGGCAAAACAATGGCGGACACCGCTCAGGCCCTCCAATCTCTCTTCCACGCCCTCGACCCCGTGTCCCTGCTCCGCTCCCAGAACTCCGGGAAGTTGGAAGGAAGAACGGAGCGGCGACCTTCGATCTCCCCGCCGGCGATGGGGGAGAGCGGCGGCGGCGGCGGCGCGGCCCCGCACCGGGCGAGCACCGCTCCGGCAGTCCAGCCTGTCGTCCGCACCCTCGACCCGGTGTCGCTGCTCCTGTCCCAGAACTCCGCCACCGACGACATCGTCCCGCTGAGGCTCGCCACCGACCACTACTTCGTGGAGAGAGGGCCCCGGTACGACGCCTACGCTCGGCTGAGGGAATCCAGATTGAGGATGAAGCACGCGAGGCAGGAAGAGCCTGAGGAGAGGGATCTCAAGCTCACCCCGCCGCCCAAGAAACAAGTCAGGTTCCAGGGGAATTTGGGCGGCGGCGGCGGCGGCGGCGGCAGGCGAAGAGGGTCGCCTTCCATTTTGGCCCAGTCCGTCCCGGACTTCTCGTCCGCTCTGAGGAAAGAGAACCGGAAGCCCGCGCCGCTCCCCTCGCTGGCCGAGATCACCCCGCCATCGAAGAACTGGTCGAAGGCGGGCGGCGGCGGCTCGAACGCTAGGGGGAGCAAGTCCGTCGGTGCGGCTGCCGGGGAGAAGAAGGGCGGGCTGATGGCGAGGAAGAGCTACGCGAGCATGGAAGAGCTGAAGGGGTTGTCCTGTGCCGCCGCGAGCGCCATCAACGGAGACGACAGAGGGAGGATCGGGAGAGGGAATGGGATTGGGAGGACTATCTTGGGGTACAGGAAGTTCTGAAAAGGTCATATGATGATTTGATTCAGGGTTTTGGGGGCGGGTCGACAGTTAGTTCTGTTTGTTTTCAAACAAGTTTGATCGAGGTTTTACAAACTTGTTCACACGTTCTGGGGTGGTGTTTGATCATCATCATCATCATCACCGTCAAGGCATAATGAATTCTTTGTATTCTTTTTCCTGCTTTCTTCATAAAGAAGCTCTAGAGCTTACTTTCAATGTTTCTGGGGTTTGTTTCTGATGTAATGATGGGAACTTTGGCCTTCCAGTTCCAGTTTAGTGATTGTGGAAGCATAAAAACAGTCATGTCTATAGTTGTGGGTGAATCAATTTTAGTGCGACACACATTTACATTCATAAATGGAATGTGCTCAAATGTGGATGCAAGAGATTTTGAGGCTATATTAAATAATTGCAGTTACCATTCACTCAAATCTTACAACAAAAGCACGTCTGGTAAAAGAAACGGTAACTTATGAAACCGACATAAGAACATCTTAAGACGAAGAAACATCAGACAGTTCATAAATTGGCCTAGGGGGGATTTTATCTGACCTAGAAATTCAGTTAGCGTCTTTGCATAGAATGCTCATTTACAAATAATATTAGCCTCCATCGCTAGCCGTTTCGGCATTTTTGTACAATAGTACTGTCTTCCTAAATAAGAAGTTTGCACCATTTGTTGCGACAGCATCATAAACACAAAAAGAGTCGACCGGTCTAAAACCCAGGAACGACATTCATCCTCAAAGATCCATCACAATTTCCTCCACCAGATTAGAGAGTATATCCTCACCCAGTTCAGCACCATTCTCAAATGCCTCGATGTCGAAATCTGTCCATTTCCCCAGGGCGTTACTCATCTCGTAGTCAATTATCCCATCAGGAATCATCCCAGCTAAACAGGCCCACTTTCTCACCTCCCCTCCAACATCTTTGATCAACTTCTCTACATTCAAGAACATCGATTGTCTCGTCCACCCTTGATATCCAAAGTTACAGTATCTCCGGTACTTTGAATCCAAGCACTCCAACAAACAGTCGAAAAGAAACCGCCTCAGCTGATTCCCCTCTTTGGCTTCCTCTGATCCAAACAAAGATTTTATATCTGTCCAGGTAGTGGCAGCAGCACATTCAAGTTCATCGAGGAGAAAGAGGGTAATGATGAAATCTTTCATCCCACTGGAATGACGTCGAGTCAAATCCGCAAAGAGCAGTTCAGCATGCAACATCACATCCTTTGCATGTGTGAGCCTGCTCCCTGTCAATTCCAACACCAAAAGATCTAGGCCCCCTATCAGTCTAGTTATCCGGTCGATAAGATCGATCAACATGTTGCGGTAGCTACTTCCGTTTTCGAGTGATGTAGCAGAGTCCAAAAGTTCAGCTTCCAGATTGAGCGGTTGCAGAGTATCAGGGTAGTCCATGAAGTCAGGATGCAACTTCAATCCTGAAGACACAATATAATTTGTTTAGTCAAGGGAAGCCGATATTCAGAGAGGAGTACATGAAGATTCCGGTAAGGTGGTTTGTGAGTGATAACAAAAGCAACAGGAATTCTAGCATGTTACCCGTGCTATCATCCAAGCCACTGGAGATGCAGCTGTCATTGGAAAAGGATGCATCAAGGACTGAACCTGGGCTCAAATGATTCACATCACTCGAAAATCCAATCAATGTCCCTTCCGTAATTGCCTTTTTCTGATAGGAAAGAACAATACTTATTAGTCTAGCATGTTATAAGGCATCATTAGAAGATGATGCATCAGTCTGGAAAAGCAGCATATGGCATATAGCAGAACTTCAATCAAAGAAATTAAAATATAATGAAGAAGAAGTGTTTATTCCTACGTACAAATCCCCAAAGATACATTAAATCAGCTATACCAATCATTCAACGTAAAATTTGCTGTATTAGATTGTCCTCCAGTCACAAAAACCACATTTGATTACCCAAATGATAGCATATTCTTATTGCACCATTGAGACCGAGAAAACCAACCTTAAAAGCATTTCCAGCATCAAGCATATCACAATCTTGTGATAAAGGTGGCGCAGCAGTTAAAGCGGCAATCAGTTCTTGGAGAATCATAGCAGTAGATCGCTTGGGCATAGCACATGCCGTACTCAGCTCGTCTTCTTCTTGAGAAATCAATTCCTTCAATTTACATTCCAAAATGGCACCTAGAGCATCTCCGTTCCAGGGTAACTGCTTTTGAAATGCTGCTTCATCATCACTTCTGTTGAACACTGGCTCTCTGGAATCAGATGCCTTGCCACCAGGAAGGCCCTTTCCGGATCTCTTGTCATCAATGCCCGCAGGAAAACCACTCTTGTGCTTCAGCGGAGAGTTGAATGTAAAAGAAACAACACTATCATTGTTAGTGCCAGCAGCTTTAATTCTATCGGCTTCACCTACCAATTTACTCCTTTCACAACTTCTGTCGCTGGAGGAAGCACGAAAGTTGACCTTCGTCCTGGGAATTGCATTATGCTGAGCATCATTTTGTTTACCGACTTCAGAACTGACAAAACTTGGACTCTCGACTGGTCCATCAACATTAGGAGACCTTATCTTCCGCGCTGGAGTTCTGAATTGAGACAAAGAATCAGCTCGTCTAACACGAGTCTTTCTGGCTGCATCAGAACCAGAGTTTTCAGCTTTGACAGGCACCCTGGATCGCGTTCGACCACTTAGGCTGCGATTCAGAGCTACAAAATCCTTAGCCCCAGTAGCAGAATTTCCACTTGACAAGGCTTTCCTGCTATTGGAATTGCTGCATTTGGCATTTGGAGGAGTCCTACCAGTCTCTAACATCTCGTTCTGGGTGGTGGGACTATTCTTCAAAGCACTGGACGGTGATTCTTCGTGGTGAGGATTGCACTTATGGCTTGGTATACACCGCTGCTCGTGGCATTCTTTAGGAAGCGGTTTTGCATCCTTAAGGGGTACATTAAAGGCTTGAAAGTGGCAATTTGGTGGGGAAGACGGAGCAACAGATTCTCGTTGCCTTCTCCTATAAGTTAGGTCTCTTTCTCGCATCAGAGCTGCTGGTGGTGGTCTTGGTTTATTGATTCCAGAGTCTAGATAAGAAGCATGAAAAGGATTCAAGGTTATGTTCGCATGATCTAGCATCTGTTGCGATGTTTCTTGTATGAGGTCTATATCCACCAAATTACCACAGTTAATGCACGAAGTTTGTCCTGCAGCCTCAGCTTCACTACATATGGCCCGTGTAAAGACATTTTGTGACTCAGATGGAGACCTTTCTGCTATACCCACCTCACTGGAAGGATATGCGGAGGTGGAGTACGGAAGGGCACATTTAACCCTGTTTCTGGCTTGCAATCCAGGTTCTAGTATCCTAGCAGCCGCATCAATCAACCGAGAACTCCGTGATGTATTCCTTACGGAAGAAATTCTTGGGCTCCTCATAGGGGAGAGAAGCTTGGGGTGATGCTGCTTCCTCGATTTAGTCAAGACACCTTTAATTTGGAAAGCCTCCGCTCCAAAGCGAGTGACAACCCGTCTCTCCAATGGACCAGTCTTCTGAAGTTTCTGAGGCCTCAGTTCATGCTTTAGCTGACCCTTTTCATTATTCAAGTCGTCTTCCTTTGTGGACCCTTTGCTACCAAGGAGAAACTTCTCCACTTTACCATGGCGAGTGTCGCATGACAGAGGTCCGGTAGCCTTCTTCTGCGCAGCAGGCATGGATTCAAGACCCATTAGCCTGGCAACCAACCCAGGAGCTTGAGTTTCATGCTTTTGCCTCTGTTCCAGATCAAGATTCTTATTCCCATTTCTCCTCGAATTAGGGAAACCCCCTTCGTTCTCATCGGCAATCTAAAATTCAAGAAATGTCGTGTTCAAGAAAATAGTGAGCACAACAACCGGTCATTCCAAACAGCAAACCAACAGAAAGAAACGAGGGATGAAGTTTCAGAAAGGCCTACCAAATGGAGCTTAGCAACGGGCATCTTCTCGTCCCGGCGGAAGTTCCTGGACACTTGCTTCGTGCGAGCTGACACATCGAACCAAAAGAAGAACGTGTGAACATTGCAGTGGTTCACCATGACGTGCAAGATGCAGGACCAGAGATTTGTGCACCACCGAGGGGACGAGCGAGCAAAACCAAGCACAATAAAGAAATGTATGGGCAGGGCAAGGACATTACCAGGAGCAAGCAACTTTCTGGAGAAGAGCCTCTTCTTGGCGAACCTGCGGTGCCAGTCAAAGAGCTGAAAGAAGATGCCGACACAACCTCCGGGCCTCGCCGGAGCTTGCCGCTTCTCCGCAATCGCCAGACACGACGGCGCTTTCCCTGCGCTCTCGTTCATCATCATCGTCGTCTTCTCCCGAGAAGACGAAAAGGGACGGACTCCTAACCCGGTGGAAGACCCCTGAACAAACAACTCCAGCTAGCCCCGAATCCGATCCTAAAGATCTAACACAACGCCACTCGAGCAAAGAAGGACAGACGAGATTGATACAGATCAGTAACGCCAGACCAAAACGTGCTTCGTCTTCGCCTCCCCACAACCTTCTCGCGCGCGCTTCGCTGAATCAACTCACATTTCTCCAAATCACAAAGCCCACCTTCCAAAACCGAAATGGCCGTCGCCGCGCAGCATCATCATCTCCGCAGAAGCTGACGTGTCGTGTTCCCCGGAATCGCGGCCCCGCTCTCTTCACAGCTCCGAGAAACGAAGCAAGTCAAAAGCGGAGAGGGAGAGAGACCCTGAAATCGGAAAGCGACGGATCAGAGAAAAAGCCGAGCCAGCCAAGAACACACAGACCAAACGATCTCTGCACAGCATCGCACACTGCACCACTTATCTCACCTTTTTGTACTTCTCTTCACGCAAGGTCCCAGACGCGCAGCAGAGGCAGCAGCGAAGCAAAACCGGGGTAAAGCTACAATGTCGCAGGTGAAAAAGGGAAAAGGAGGGGCGGGGAAGAAGCGACCGGCTGATGGCGACTGGCGACCGGAAGGGGCGACGACGATCGAATCTCAACCGCACCGAAGGAAGCGAAGAGGGCGGCGAGGCGCGGCGCGGCGGCGGCGGTCGTCCTGCAGCGAGGGAGGCGAACCGGACGGCTTCGACGGCTCCCTACGCGAGCGCAATGGCGGGGCGGCAGCAGCAGCGCGGCTGGCAGCAGCTGCTTCAGGCCGTGCCATTCGCAGCCTCTCTCTCTCTCTCTCTCTCTGTCTCTCTCTCTCTCTCTCCCTCGCTCTGTGTCAGTGACTGGTCGAGCTAGAGAGAGAAAGTAGTGAGGGGGGGCCGGTGCGTAGGATAAGCAGTGGAGAGAGAGAGAGAGAGAGGGAGTGATGCAAGGCCCACGCGCGGTCGGAGGAAGACAGATTTCACGAGGTTTACAATGGAGACAAATTCGTGGGCGAGGATTTTTTTCTTCTTTTTGGTCCGATTTTGGCTCCTCCCGCACGTGCGAAACCGAGGTTCTTGCATAATTGGCGTTGAAATTTGAATTCCGTCGTTTCGGTACTATGATTTGTTTACTCAATCGAGCTGGAGTGACTCGCTCGTGTCCACGTTGTTTTTTTTTTCTTTTTTTGCGGTTTATGTATTCAGATAAAACAGGTGGGTCGCGGACTGCTTGATCGGGGCTTCTCTCCAAGTGTTTTGGATTGAGATCGGGTTTAATTGGAGACGGACGAGATGCATTCAGTAAATCCCGTGGACCGAAATATCTTAAAATTACTTGATTCTTTATGTGCTGTTAGGATCACGGCGCGACACTTTTAACACGCGCGTTTTCGAATGTTCCGCTACTTTTTGAGGTGGTATGTGATGATTTTCGGAATGGTAATTCGACTTAATTTACCTTTTGGATGGACTGTCGAATTTTATAATGTAATGTAATTCGGGGGAAATTCGGAGGGGAAAAACTTAGCGTAACGCCCAAATCAAGAATTGAAAAAAAAAATCTATCATGTTCTGATGTAAAAGAGTTATTTAATTCCTTAAATTCACTCGAAATCTTCAAAAACTGTAGACTTCTCCGCCATTTGTTTCTTTCCATATATATGTGTGTAAAGTAATTTTTCAAAAAATATTTTCCTTTATCGTAAAATTTTCTTCTATATAAATGGTCCACATTTAATACCGACGTAAATTTACATTGTTCCGTGGATTTTTTTTTTTTGTGTATATTAAGTTGGATCTGGTTAAAAAAATAAAAAAATTTGTAAAAGAAAAAAAAACGTGGACGGAGTTGGAACGGTGGCTGTTATTGGTCACACCGCCGTCACTTCACCGCACGTCGCCATGCGGTGGTTGTCGAGGGACCGCCATCGCCAACCACCATGAGACGGTGGTTGTGTCTCTACAAGTCAGCATGTCCTCAAACTAAAAGTTCCATTACAATAATTGCATCGCGAATTGTAGGGGCCCGTTTAATGTTTCTAATAAGCTCCGTATTTAGGGCTTAATATAATTAAGCACATTCGATAATCAAGACTACTTCCACTTAATTCGATTGATAGAAATTTAGCAAGTGATATTTTTGCCCACGGTGTTGCTGAGAACCTCAAACCTGCCAATAATATTTCGCAATTTCATATTTGATAACAAACTACTATTATCCAATATTCAATTATATTAAAATGATATCTTTTTTTTCATTTTAAGCACTTAACATGGTCGATATTTGAAATTCATCATTAGAATTTTTCAATGATTATTTTTCCAGTTTCATCTAAACAAGCACGTATTTGCAGCTTATTTTTCACGGACGAATTAAGTTTTGCCTCGACAGAAAAGACAAGTCGAGTCGAGTTGAAAGTCAAGCTATAATACATAAGGTTTGACTTGAAATTACCTGTGCAATCGTGTACTTTTAAGCCATCAGAGCGCTACGCTGAATATATTTTAGATCTCAACAATTTAATTGGTTTTGTCTCCTAGCTTTTTTTCTTAACGACGGAGCTCAATTTAGATACATAAATTCACGAATCAACAGATTCTCCACTAATGTAAAGGATCGGACACGACACGAGTCCTCAAATACGAAACAATCTGCACCTACAAATGCGAGAAATCGAACACGCGCCGTGGGCCTCGGTAATAATGTAAAAACATCGTCACGGTCGAAACTCTTGTTTCACACGAATCGCTTGAAAAAGATTCAAGAACATGTAAATACCGTCACGTAGATAATTACACAATTCTTGTCCAATTTAATTTAAAATCTATATATGTATTTTAAAAAAAAATTTGAAATGTTAAATTTTTTTTTTCTTTTTTATTTTGAGAAAAAGGCCAAAATAGGGAGCCACCTTAGCTACCGTCGAGTCCACGTCTGTCTGGCCGTATGGCGCTGTCGAGGAGCGTTTGCCCTGTTCCCGTCTCTCCCCTCCCCCCTCTTTTTTCAAAAAAGCCGAAAAGGGCAAAAAAATCGCTCCGAAAGTCCGTCCGTCCGACGACCCCCCCCACGCGCCTCGGTTGGAGGGGCAGACACCGGAACTCGCGCGGTCCGCGCGCCACGTGGGCTTGTGGGGGGGGGGGGGGGGGGGGGGGAGGGGGCAATTCGGTACATTCCCCAGCTGCCGGAGATATGTCCTCGGGAGGCGTGAGGCGGACACGTGGCCGTCGGTTCCGGAGCCGCTGACCGCCGTCGCGGCGGTCAAAGCGAAGCGGCGGCGGAGGAGGCGGAGGAGCGACGTTTCCTTGGGCTAAAATGCGCCCGAGTGGGAGCGCGTGGGTCCGCGTGAAGAGACAGCTAAGCAGAGTCCCACGAGGCAAATGTCTAGCTCTCTTTTTTCTTTTTTCTTTTTTTTTTCCGTGGGATAAATAAATATAATTACGGAATAATAAGCCAATTGGTAAGAAAAAAAAAAGCGTAATAAATTTTCGGGAGGAAATAAAGAGATAGTAAGAGTTTAAAGAAGGGATAATGACACAAATAGTCAATGAATTTTGACTCAATATGTAATTTGGTCCCTGAACTTTTAATTTGTTCAATATAATCCCTGAACTTTAACCCAATGTTCAATGTGGTTCCTGAACTTTCAATTTATTCAACTTGGTCCCTAAACTTTTAGTAAATGTTCAATGTAGTCCCTAAATTATATGAAAATGTACAATATAGTCTCTGAACTTAAATTAATGGAAAGACTACATTGAACATTTTTATAAAGTTTATAGACTATATTGAACATGTACCAAAAATTTATGGACAACATTGAACAAATTGAAAGTTCAGAGACTATATTGAACATTAGATTAAAGTTCATGGACTACATTGAACAAATTAAAAGTTCAGGAACCAAATTGCACATTGAATCAAAGTTCAAGAACTATTTGTGTCATTTTCCCTTTAAAGAAAAGGATGGAATGTTTATGTGAATGAGCTCGGTGTGATGATACCTTTGCCAATACTACGGGCAATGCTTTTAATTTAATCACCGGGTTATGTCGAAAGAGTGTCGTCGAGTTATTTGTTAAGCATGATGCTTAAATAGGAACGATCCAATCTGCAAAATGGCGATTATCCATGACACGAGAATGGTCGGTGTATTAAGGAACCATGGAGAAATTACGCAAAAACTCCCCCATGAACTTCTTGGGTAGTACATGTTTGTCCCGAATTTTCAATCGTTACACAGTACCTCGTGGACTTTTAATCATTATAAGTGGTAACCCCTGTTGCACTTGACTTTAAGGCTGCGTTTGGTCGACCGTATAAAAGCTAGGATAGGATATGTTTTATCCTATCCTGTGTTTGGTGGTGGTCCAGGATAGGATAAGGTCGGATATAGACCGGATATAGCCCGGATAAAAAAATCCGGGGGGGAGGGGTAGGATAGACCCGGATAGGATTTCTAATGCCTATTTTTCCAGAAATCCTACGCTCCACTCGCCGTCATCTTCATCCCCACACTTTGTGCGCTTTCACCAAAAAAATTTCTCGGCTTTTTTTCCTTCACCGACTCCTCCGGACTCGTGAATAGCAAAAAAATAAAATAAAAATTATCCTATCCGACTTTAAATCCGTAGTCCACCAAACAGTGGACAGGATATGAAGAAATCCCAGGATTTCTTACCTTATCCTATCCAGTCCTATCCTGTTTAGAAATCCGGACGACCAAACGCAGCCTAAGGGATAAAAGCATATTTCTATCTCTCTTTTTTTTTGGATAATCTCTTTTAAACCCTTAATGGCTGTAGAAATCGAACAATTATATAAAATGAGAGAAAATTAAGGCTTCCGTTCGTTTGGCGGAAAATATTCTCCTTTTGGAAAATATTCTCCCAGAAATCATTTTTCTGAAAAATGTTTTCCTGAAACACAATTTTCTGGTGTTCGGCGACCGCCGATCCGGCGGCGACCGCTGATCCGGCGGCGTCCGGCGACCGGCGGCGGCGATTGGCAACCGGGCGGCGGTCGGCGGCGGCGGGCGGCGACGGGCGGCGATCGGCGGATCGACAGAGACGACCAATGGCCGACGGCGGCCGTTTTAATTTCGACGATCGGTGTGACGGCCGTGGCGATCGCGGCAGGATGGCGACGATCGGCGACGGCGGCTGTGTGATCGCAGCATTGGCGGCGGTGGACTGGGCGATCGGCCGCAATTGACGACCGACGGTGGACTGGGCGATCGACGACGGCGGGCGGCGGTATGCGGCCGGCCGCGGCGATAGGCGATCGGCGGCGGCCGACGACCGTGGCGGCGATCGGCGACGGCGAAGGCGACCGGCGGTCGTCAATCGGCGGCGG